CGCTCAGTGTCAGTGTTTCAATGACCCATATTGTGCACCGATGTCGTCCCAGAACCACACCGGGGACTCTTTTGCTGTCTTGAGCTGGTTAATTTATTTGAAGTCTCCATTTCATCATGTATTAAATGCAGGAAATGTCAGTACTTTTGGAGGATTTGCACTCCTTTAACAGAACCACGCTCTGTTCCTGAAGTCATGTCGGCACTAATTGAGTAACTCGCCCCACACCGCTGCCTACAACCTGCTTAAAACAGAATAAATGTCATTAAAACATCTTTTAACTTTTGCCAAACTGACGGCTTCTTTGGTTTTTCAGAGGAGATGGTGGGAACACTTAAATGGTTTATGATGGTGTGAAGACTCTGTGGTATGTTGGAGTCTGCAGAGGTTGTTGTAAAGAGACGTGTCCACAGTGTAGCTTCATATCCGAGTATCCTTTAAGCTTGGCCCCACTTTTTACATGCTTTATGTCTTATATGTGATGTAATATGCTCAGAGATATATTTTTTATAAATCTGATACCCATATTATCAAAAAGATTTAGCTACAAGAGTGAAACCCTCTCTTGGAAAAGCCTGTGGGAAGCTTAAAAGGTGCGTGAGAGCGTGCTTTTCTTTGCATCCGACTGAAGTATGAGCCTTTTAGAGGATATTTCCAACAGCACCACATGAATCCATATCCATTAGAGTGTGAGAAGAGTCATGCTTGTTTGGCCTGCTCTTTTATGAATCCTTTATTATGGATATATACGATATGAGGTGGCATTTACCAGCACAGACCTGTAACCTCCCGTCTTAATGTGGCACTTCTCTCTGAATGTACTGCAGATATACACTTTATGAATACTTATCATCTTGACAGGGACAAATATAGGCTTATACATGAAGATAATTCATGGAGACATGCTTATATGTCAGTGCGCTCAAGTAGTCGTCCATACAGCTGACCTGTGACCTCGTATCTTAGAACATGAGCTTCTTTTATCCTCCTATTATCGACTACCGTCAGTGTTTACCAGTGTTTTTATCCTTCAAATAGTTTCAGTCCATTTCAGAGGTTGCAGAAATGCGTGTACATCGCTGCACCTCTGCAACCCTCCAGTTTGGATTTGAACGGATAATGGACATACACACTGTTTCTTTACTAAAGCAACTCTGAAAAGAGCAGCAGCAGCGAGGTCCGGGATATAAACTGTCAGTGCGGACACTGAATCAAGAGACCCTGGTTAGATCCACTCCTTTGTTAGTGCATCAAAAAGAGGATTTTGTTAAAGGACAGAATATTTACAAAAATGCTGCTGCATAAACTCGCTCATCATTTTCAGAGCATTCCAACGGCATTTAGTGAATGTTGCACTGAGAGTTGTTTGTAGCCTGTTGCAAGGTCGGAGATGATTTAGCAAAAAAACAGTTGTTTTAAGTGTCCCGTTAGATTTGTTTAAAGGCACCTTGGGGAGTTTTCTCCTAAATATCACTGAAGTTTCACAAACTTGCTTCCTCTTGTTTGGATTATTTTCAAACTTGCAGAGTTGTTGCTAATGGAGTCTGTCTTCTTGTGATATTCTCGCCTATTCTTACCTTGGCACTCACCCTTGTTTTTGCATGCACATGACATGAGTGTTGCATCTGACTGTGACTAAAATGAGCTGTCAGCATCTCCACTCTCCGCTGCACAGAGCTTCACTGTGCACTCTCATCCTGACGCTATCATCCATCAGTGAGATGAAGGAACAGAAGCACTTCTTATCAGGTTATTGAGGAATTATTATTGACGGATGTGACACAGATTTTACAGGCTGAATCCAAGAGTAAGTGAGCAAATTGCAATAAGTTTAAGTTTTACATTACAACCCCTACAGTGCTTTACAAATTGAAGCATAAAAATGCTTTAAATTCTCCGGTGCTATGACCACCTGCTTGCGCTAGATAGTAAAATTTCACCTTTACTTGTTGTGGCTCCAAGTCATAAATGAAGTGTTTTTTGTAATGAGGGACACATGCACAAATGAAGGCACTCTGGCTCATTTTATTGTATACCAATTACACCGTTGCACAAGTAGGGGCCAAAAATAAAATCCTGATTTATTTTTCCTAAAAAACTCGATTTTGATTTCTTTACTCAGTGACAACTTCACCAAACTTCACTTCAACAGTAAGTTTTTCTTTCATCTCTCAAAATGAAACCTCTGTAAATGATGTAGTGCATATGCCAAGCCAGTAAGTGGCGCTGTAATGCTGCCCAGGAAATACTCCAAGGATAGAAGAAGAGTACAGAGCATTCTTATAAAATTTGTTTTGCCACGAAATATCGCTTTCTTTTGCAAACGCCATGTTTGTTTACACTGGTGTGTGTGGGAACTGGGGAGTGCTCCCGCAGACCACTTTTTTAACATCGTCATAATCAAACAATCCGATTACGATTAAAAATTGATGAATCATGCAGCCCTACAATGAAGTTATGCGCTCTGCAGCACGGTTTCGGGTTCATTTAAAACTTTTTGTGTTCACTGAAAATCAGATGCAATCTTTTTTGTTCATTTGCACAAGTTTAGTAGATAAATAAACCATGTGATTACCCTGTACTTGATTATTTAATCACAGAAATATCTTGAAAAGTTGTTATGTTTAGTATTTGATGTCGCACTTTCGAAGAACGTTAGCAGTCTATGAAATCTCCAGAGGAAGTAAGCTTTAATCCATAAAACCTAGTTGACTGAAATAATGCCAGTCTAGTGTGTGTGTGTGTGTTGTGTGTGTGTGTGTGTGTGTGTGTGTGTGTGTGTGTGTGTGTGTGTGTGTGTGTGTGTGTGTGTTTGGCATTTTGAGCATATGCCATCTGTTGAATGGTAATCCAATGCACAGAGATGTAATTGAAGTCAGTGTCTGCATGATTGCGTGTTTTTAGTCTCATGCATTTGAGTGTGTGTGTTTGTGTTTGTTTGTGAGTGTGTGTGTGAGACTGAATGAGCATTGTGTAAGAAGATTATGCACAACAGCATTATTGCAGATGTCACAACACTGAGCCCAATCCACGTTACAACCACAAATACAGAGAAAACATGGAAGAACAATCCCGCCTATGTGTGACGTTTTTTTGTTCCTCCTTTTGTTGTTTATTTGACAACAGACAAAATAAGTATTCACGCCACATGAAGCAGACTGTTCCACCTATTGTGCGAGGCTCTGAGCTCTGCCGGAGGTATTATGAACGCTGTAGATGAGGGTTTCTGTCCGTTCTCGTGTTGGGTTTTTGCGGCATTGTTTCGGCTTTAAATGCCGACATGATGAACTGGCTCTGACAGCTGCCAGTGTTGCTGGAACATAATGGGTTTTGTTGTTCAGGGGGTAAATCTGGAGGTCGTGATCCTCTGTGGTCTGTTCCTGAACCTCTTTGTGTGCCTGACCTTCAGTATTTATTCTCCGTCTGTGGAGATTTGTATGAACTCTACTGTGAGCTGCGTTGCTATCACAGTTTTAAAGGTTTCTCAGAAAGGCTTATGTAACTTTGCTTAGTTTTACATGAACGAATCTGCACTGCAGTGGTTTCATATTTAGATCCATTATTAGTCTGCTCTGTGCCAATTAAAACTTTTATATGATTACGTAAGTGCTTTCAGTTTGTTCAGAACATGAAAACACAGACCACAAAAGCTCCCCAAATATGAAGCCGGAACATTCAGAGCTCCCCCTTGTGGCTGGCTGCAGTACAGGCCACGACAACAGATTGAACAAACAAATTAAGACGCCTCAAATAAAGGTCTATGATGTCTTGATGGACTTTCTCCTGTTGTAGAGAAACAGCAGGAGAAAACATGACAAACACCAAGTCATGGGGCAGTCAGTTGAACAAATAATCAGTTTTGATCGTTGTAGACCTGAAATGCAGGTCATGTTGTGTCTAAAGCCGAAAACATACAGGATCCATGTTGAGCGGGTTCCCTCAGGGTCGCGTCTCTGCTCTGTCTAACAGCGCTGTCTTATCGCACACAGGATCAGCGTACTTGGAGCGTAGCAGCGGCGTAGTTCAGCCCCGGTCAGCTGGGCTCAGTTTAGAGGAAACAACAGGATCACAACAGGTTGTTTTTCCTTTCTGTGGTCGATTTCCTGCTAATTTGTATATAATTCCTCGTGTTTGATAAAGTAAACTCTGTTCCTTTATGCTGTTACCTTCAGACAGAGTTAGCAGTTTAAAGTCCTGTTGGGGTCCACATGGATCAGGGATTGACCATCAGATTGTTTGATGTTACTGAAAAATCCAGAACCAGGAAGTATTTCTCATCTACATGATCTGATACACAGTCAGAAGTTCGCATATGGTGTCTTATTTTGAAATTTACCAGATGACGTGAGCGGTTTCCGTGCCTCCTGTCTAGAACAATCCTCTCTGTGTAGATTGACACCTGTTCGAAGCGCAAAGCAGAGAAGATTGACTCGTCGCCTATCTTTAGCAGAGTCACTTCTGAGATGAAGCTGCGACAGAGCTGATACACGTCCTGTGTGCAATGCTGCATTGATTAGAATAGGAATAGGTAGATGCTCTATGACCAGGATGTAAACAGACACAGATACGGCGTCTTGTATCATGGTGCCGTTTGGGAGTGTTTTAATAAAGCAAATGAAGATGAAGTTGTATTTAAGATCACCTGTTTTGCTTTTCTGTATTTACATTTAACAAACATACTGTCTGTATGTGCAGCTGATAGTTTAGAGGCTTTATAACTTTGTTTAAATGGTTGCCTCATAAATAAAGATTATATTATTAATGTGACTACAGTGAATTTGGGATGATTGCCCTTTAACACTGATCCAAAAATCAGAAGACCGTTCACTTTACGGAGGATTAAAAATGTCAAACTAATTTTATGTTAATGTAATCTACTGAGTCTGCTGTGTGCACGGATAGTTTTCTCTTTCTTATTAAAAGTTCAGTCCATAATAACAATAATAATGATTGTGTTAATTGTTGACTGTTTTCTTGTGTTCGCAGGGATTCATGGTTACATGAATGTCAGCGCTGCAGGCCAGATGCCGGTGATGGAGGAGCTTGTCAGTGAGAGGTGAGAAGTAATCGACTTCAGAGGGATTCAAACACTTCATGATGGTTGAAATGATACACAACACATCAAATCTTGAATTTACTATTTAACCAACAGTGTAAATATCTTTACGTTCTTCTCAGTTTTCTGTAAAACATTCAAAGTTCACCCATCCACACTTGTAGTTTTCTGTTGCGTCAGCATTATTCATATCCTCCTGCACAAAAACTCTTTATCTGGAAAGAAAGCAGACATGGCCGCTGCATCGAGGAAATAACCCGTCTCAGAGGTCTGCTTTTTAAAAACGAGTAAACTGCCCTGGTTTCTCCTTCAAGGGCATCTTCATCTCTGAGTTTTGGTTCAGCTGAGGAAACCAAAATAACGCGGAGCCTCCTCGCTGCCTCTGTGGCTGTTTTCCCCTCAGGCCGGTGTGTTTGATTAAAACAGGGATCCTGCTGAAACTGTTGGATGTGTTTTTCTCCTCTGCTGTGGAATGCCAAAGTCGTTTTATTGCTATCTCTGCCCGACTAATGCCCTCTGCCCCGGAGGGTGAGAAAGAGATTTAAATTTCTGAAGACATCACGGTGGAGGAGCTGTGGAGGTTATTTTTGACTGCTTACTTTGACCAACAGACTGATAAGAAGACAGAAAAAGCAGCATAGACAGAGGGGAGGGGGAAAAAGGCACATTAAGTCCTTGAATCTTTTCCAATGAAAAAACTCAGCGGAGTTTATTTGATGCTCGCAGATGTCCTTGACACGACTGTGTGAAATCAGCGCTAATTGACTCTTTCAAATGATATTGGATTTATTTTTTTGTATGCAGCGTTTTCTTACAGTGTCATCCCAATCAAAGCTTCATACACTCTATTTATCCTGGAGGGAGAAAAGATGAAATAGGAAAAATGAAATGATAAATTCAAAGAGGTCAGAGTTTGCAGAAGGCATTTACAAACAGCAAGCAAAGATCTATGAGTGGAAAAGCACAGACTCTTCAATAAATAAAGGGATCTTTTTTCAACAGAATTATAAAACCTAAATAACTTGATAGTTTGAAATCAAAAACACTGAAAACAGTCAAATTGAGCTCAGTTTGCTGTGAAATCCATAGAACACTGTTATTAAAGATATAGTCAGTTTTCAGGGACGTCCCAGGTGAGAGTGGATCTCCTGCGTGATTTAGTGTCACTGTGGTTTGCAGCAGCATCAGTTCCTGCCTTTGACAGGTTAACAGGTTGTTCTCAGTGACTTGTGCAACTTGTCAGATTGTCTTTTCATTCACTGAGGAGTGCTTGTCCCATTTTATTTGGATGCACAATGAAGTGCAACAGCTACTCTCCTCCTCCTCGTGGTGTGTGCAGCGTACTTTCCCTTCTTTATCTGCTGGATGATAAACTCTATCTCAGTGAAAAAACCTCTCTGTGCAGTTTACTCTTATTTTGTTCTTCAGCTCCCAGAGTTTTAACTAGGACTAGAGAATATGATCATATCGCTCTTGTTTTGGCGTATTTACTCTGGTTTCCTCTACATTTTACAATTAGCCGTTAACTGGAGCTACAGCTCCGGCCAGCACTGTAGGTTAGAAGTTCTGTTTAGTGATGGATCATGTTATTTAGTTCTGTATTTGTGTTGCACTCTCGGGTTTTTACGGGGGAGTTAAAAGCGTCTAAGGCAGATTTAAGTCCAGGGGCAGACAGAGTTTTCTGTGCAGGTTTATGGCTGCAAGAAAGAGAGACTTCCTCTGGTGAACCTGTGGTGCATTTTTGATGGAGAGTCTTGTACTGAATGTTCTCCTGTGTGTTGACATGCACTTTAGACAGCTTTCCCCTCTCTGACGCCACCATCAGGGGGACATATGAGAGCTGAATTCGCCAAAAACAGGTGAAAGCTTCTCATGCCTGTCCTTGTTATGTTACATAATCTTACAGGCAGCTCATCTACAGCTGTATTTGAGTGAAACCACAACAACCCGGGCTTTAACCTGCAATTGGGATCTAAAAAGAATGAGTTTGTATCATCGGCATGTGTTTCGATTCTTCAACTCCTCATCAGATCTGGAAATAATCTTATAAATCAATACTTTACGCCTTTTCTTTCCCTAAAGCATGAAGAGAAATATGTAAATCTGATTGGAAATGCGATGCTGACACCTAAACTGTGCAGATGATGTTGTTTTTATCAGAGGGAGACACGAGCTTCGGTGCAGAATTAGATTAAAGGACTTCAGTGGGAGGATAATGTCTTTAAGAGTGTAGCGAAAGCCTGTTTATGGGGAAGTGCGGTTACACTATGTGACCCAGTTTTGTGTGTTGATGTTATGAATGGGATCTGATGGCGGTAACACGGCGCCTCCAGCAGCCTTCACCACGTCTAAATGGCTGCAGGAGGTGAGTGTGATGGATGACGTGGAGCCGCAGCTGCCTACGCAGCGCCCTACATACCAACTGTACATCCACGTGTCACATATGTTTACTGCGGTCACACATGTGCTGTTTGTTTGGCTGATGAGACACATTAAAGCAAGGTGGTGGGCAGGTGACACAGGTGCAGGCGTGTAAACAGCCGTTAGAGTTGGCAGGGAGATCATCGGAAATGACGGATTAGTGTCATTAACCTGGTTTTTATACTCAGGGCACTTTTTCTGAAGAAGTGGAGATCATTTCAGAAAAAGTGAACTAAAAGGTTTATTATTAAAACCTGCACTTTTCATGATATTTTTTGCTGCATGTGAGGACAGTGAGCAGAGTTACAGATTCATATTTCTTGTTAAGTTTTATCGATGCAGCTGAAGTGTTTTAGTTTTTACTCTGGTGAAGATGATTCTTCAAGTTCAACTTTTTAATGTCGGCTCTTTTCCAAATACAGGCCGTGTTAGGTCAGGATGGCTGAGTTTAAAACAACCAAATAGAGAGTGATAGAGGCGTATGTTTATGATAAAGAAGAAGACGGAGTTTATTGATCCCCGAAAGGGAAATTCAAGAGTGTGCATAAAGTTATTTTTTAGATATTTGGCTGTTAAAATAGACTTTCAACAAGTTTTCTAATGAAACTAATGAAATGAATTACCTAAACCTGTACAGAGCAGAGTTTTAAAGTACTAAAAGCTTCAAAATGGCCGCAGACTGAAGTTTCTCACAGGAGCTTTAAATTGTAGAAACCGATTCACCGTCAAACTTGCAATGGACTGGCCCAAAAATGCATTTACTTTACAGTTTATCAAATGTCCTAATTTGTCTTTACAAACACACTCATGCCTGAGGTGGACCACCCTGATCTAAACAGTCTGGACACGCCCCTGCTTGCAGTGGTGCCAACTCCTCGGTAGGGAAAGTCGCTGGTGGCTGTCATAAAAGTCGCTTGAGGTCGTGAGATAACGCCATTGCCTAATTTTCACAATTTCTCAGTCAAACTCACCGCCAACCAAAGAGTAACGAAGACGAGAAGAGTAACATCGATACCTGCTTTTATGTCAGAGTCTCTAAACTAAAAGTAAAAGTAACACACGACCACTTTGTCAAGTTGACCAAACTTTTGTGCTGATTCTGCATAATTTGAGCATGTAGTGCTAGTTCAGGCAGGCTCAGCCCCCAGTACCTCGCTGACAGTTTAAACCACCTCCTACTTCACACTCCAGCCCTTTTTCCTTATACTGTGTCTGATTTAACAATTGTCATGTGTAAAGTTACTGAACTCTCAGTCACCAAAGAAAAGTCAAACATGCAGATCTGTATTTTAAAGTATTTATGAAGCAGATTATCAGAACACTTTACTCCTAAATTCCTGGAAGAACGAACACCTAAAGACACTGAACACGTTTCAATGCAGCAGAAAAAGCATCATGTCCTCAGCTGCCCCCTGAAAGGATCCTGCAGCTCAGCGAGAGACATGTCAGATACCAAAGATCAAGTTCGACACATGCAGCAATCTTAAAGCAACAACCGGCGTTTCAGCTGTCAAACACACACCGTTCATATAACCACCGTGTGTGATCATCCTGGGACGGACCAACATGTTCGGGCCATACGTCAATACGCAGCAGCAGTCGGATTAGTCAGGGGATCAGATAGCAGCCTGCGTCCCTCGCTCCCTGTCCTCAGCACCTCAGGTGTCCTGTGACAGATCCTGTTTTCTGGACGAGTGCCTCCAACAGGGAGGTTTGGCCTCTGATGGCGTGAAGCCAAACAGAGATGAAAAGAGCAGATCGGCCCTGCCCGCTCCTGTTGTTACAGTACATTTACCAATTTGTTTGCTCATTCGTTCATTTGCTCATTTGTTCAGTTCATCTGCCATCTCATCTGTTACTTCTCTCTGTATTTGCATATGAGAAAGTGGACGGAGAAACTGACGATAAACCGAGATTATAGTGGTGCAAACAAGAACAGAAGATATCGTCTTAAATCAAGATTTACCTGCTGCACTGTCAGCTGTTTGTGCTGGTTAAATACAAACACGTTTTACTTTTCCCATTTTGATATAAAGGCTAATTTATGCTCAACGTTACATACGGATCCGAATACGGACGGAGCTCTCCATCCGTGCTTCGCGTTCTTTTCGTGAGGATTTCTGCACGTATCCTTGGAGTTCACAGTCACAGGCCAGACGGAGCAGTACCTCCGGAACCGTGAGGGCAGTGTTGCTGCTGTCACTAACCAATACGCATCTCTAGAGAGAAATGAACAAGACAATGGCGTGGCAAACAATGATGATCGTTGTCAATTTCTCTCATCGGTACGACTCGAGAAAAGAATTCTCTGTCCTCCAACCGCGAGGCATTTAGTGACCCGACCGACCACGGCCTCCTCCAACGCTGCCTTCATTTTTGTCTCCTATGCAAAATATACATCATCACCAGCTCCTTCACAGTCGCCATGTTTCTTTTTGATTGTTGTTGTCAGAAACTTTTGACTCCGGCCTGCCCCCTGGTGGATATAATAGTTAACATCCATGCCAACGTAAAGGACGCATGGAAGTATGTGGGCAGTGATGGAACCATCGTTAGAAATGGACGCGTACATTTTTATATGTATGGCGAGTGTAAATGAGATGTTAAATCTGGACTTGAATACACCAGGTGAAGTGAGTGTTTAACGGCGATGAAGTGTCATGAGAATCTGCAGTATGATGAAGGTTTTCTTTGGATAACAGCAGGATCTCTTTTGGATAAACCTCCGTTTTTAAAGGTGCTGAATAAATAAAATTCTGACTTTCAAGTTATTTAATTGAATATTTGGTGCGGGTGTAAATTTCCTGTGTGGCATGCTTCATTCTTACACTAAGCTGTGGTTTATTAACTTTAGAGTTTATTAATGATATAAAGTAATCAGTATTAAACATCAAAAACCTCTTCATTGGAGCTTTAGTAGTTTCTTTGTTCAAGTTCAGCACATGGAGGAGACATGACTGACAGCTGTAGCTTAGATGGAGCTGTTTCTGGGATGTATTTTAGTGGCAGGGCCTTCCTCCCTCCCCACCTCTTTAAAACCAAACAATGAACAACATTCAGGGATCTATTCATCATCCGTCTCCTCGAGCAACCTGTAAATAATTCTGACACATTGATTCTTCCTAACTGCAGCTCTCACAGCGGCTCACAGCACAATCTCCAAGTCTGTCGAGCTTTTTTCTTCCCCTCCATTCGAGCCCGTCTGATGTCGACCGGTGACTGTTACGGAGTGCAGACTCGGCAGCCCACGCAGTACGGCGTCTTTTTCACATCCGTGACTAAATATTTCATTCAGCAGCTGCTTACGTAATCCCAAAAAGGAATCCTCCATTCATACAAACACGCTGAGCCGAGCACGCACAAAACCCAGAAAAAGAGGAGGCAGCCGGGTCGTGTCTGACTCCAAACAAGCTGAAGATGCTTTCATATCTCAGGTGGTGGATCTGACACCTGCCAGGCCCCTGACCCTGCACCCCTCCCTCATGTACAGGAGCTGAAAAGAGAGAGTATGAGAGTTAAGACCTCCATCATCGAGAGTTTCCAGTCATGCCTGACAGGCTGATTTATCCCACCTGTCAGTGGTAGCTCTTCCAGGCACCTTCAAGTCCAGCCCTCAGAGCCTCCCTCAGCTCTTTGATCGTCCTTCAGAAAAACAACATCCTGACAAGATCCTCCGTCATCCTGGACTGACGTTTTTATAACACCTTTCTCAAAAAGAGTGTGGAGGAGAGCAGCTCGCATGAAAACAGGAAGGAAGTCGTGGTCCTGATAGAGAGGGAGGTGGAACAAGTTTTTCTGTGGCTGATGATGAAACTCTTTCAGACTTCTCCTCTCTAAGGAAGTATTTTGTATTTACAGTCATCAAGCTAATTTTTCATGCAGTTGATTTAGCAAAAATAAAGTTAAAAGGACAGATAACATCACTAGAATCATCTGGAAGGATGAACTGGGTGAATAAAGTTGATCATTTAGCATCAAAAGAGTCTGATAACATCAGAGAGAACTGTTACAACATAGTCAGCAAAATGTAATTCTGGTTTTAGAATTGACTCTCACATTTTTTTCTCCTTTTTTTCTCATTTTTCAAAAATTTTTCTTCGATTTTTTTTCTCTGAAAACTCGATTCCGAATTTTCAGAGACAACTTCCCCAAACTTCCCCAAACTTCCCTTTAATAAAAAGTTTTTCTAGCATCTATTAAAACGACACCACTGAAAATGATGTAGTGCATATGCCAGGCCGGTAAGTGGCGCTGTAACCCTGCACCGGAAATGCACGAAAGACAGAAGAAGAGTACAGAGCATGTGTATAAAGGTTGTTTTGTTCGGACACACCTAGGCGCCATAAAAGAGTTACGCTGTGTGCTCAGTGCTCTGGTGTCCTTCTCATGAAGTTGTAGATTTTCGTTGACTGATTGTTCCGGCATGTTTCTTTGTTGAAGTGATTGCAGCCAAAGTAACTGCGGTTGGAGATTTCACATGTCAGAGCTGTGAAATCACACAGATGTAAATAAGCTCATTCACACTGATATTTTTAACTATAGATCCTCTAAGCTTCAAATCACTTAGATTTCCTACACCAGATGACTTTCCTTCCATAACAGGTTTTTTTAGATGATTCTAAGTTGTGTCTAAAGACCAGGACAAAGTTTTTTCTGCGTTTTAAGCATCTTACACTGAGTTTCTATTTCTCAATGAAACTTTTGTGCTGAATAATTTTAATCTTCATTTTCCCACTTTCATCCCTCACCAAGCCGAAGACTCCCAAACCATTTATCACCGGGAAACACTGAATATTCATTCTGCAGCGCTAATACAGGACAGCAGAGCAGGATAAATGAAGCGAGCTGCCTTCCTAAAATGTCACTCCTGCTTTGGATGCAGAGCAGATTTCAAGTTTAACCCTTTTTTTTTTTAAACACACAGTCAAGTAAAAATGAAAGTTTTAAATCTTCACCATCTTTTTCCTTTTGAACAGATCTGTCACATTTCATTTGAGGCGCAGAACAATCAGCTAATTTGTGCTGACAAGCAGCTCAGAGACAAAGTCGATCCTCTGTTTTCACACAGAGCTGCTCTCTTTGATTTCCACATAATAAGGACTGCTGCTCAGAGTTTTCTGATCATAATGTCACACACACAGACTCCACGGGGTCGTGTGTGTGTGTGTGTGTGTGTGTGTGTGTGTGTGCGCGTGTGTTTAAAACAGAAACACTGAAAGTTCCGGTAATATCCTGCAGTGTCTGTGTACTGTCAAATCTTTGCACCCAGACATCCATGCACAAGTGTGGAGCGTGTTTTAATGATGTGGAGGAAAGAGGGGACCCTGCTGTTGCTGCTGGTTCCTGTGTAATGGTTCGAGTCATTAGCAGTTGTCTCTTTGTCTCCGATTAAATCTGTAGCAGCTGATCTTTTTTTTTTTTTTGAGGGGGAGGTTTAACATGAGGGGATTACAGCATTTACTTTTATAATGCAAACACTTTTTAAAGATGTCTTTGTAATGATTCTGGGAGGCTGTATGCAAAGTCTCCTTGTAGTGTCACTGTAATGGAAAATAGAAACAGCAATGAATGGACTCTTGCACATTTGTGCACATTTGGGCTTTTAGCACTTGCAGGTTTACAGCAGAATGTTCCTCTGCTGATCCTGGAGAAGTATGTGATAAAATCAGCCCAGGCTAGGACTGGGCGATTATATGATATTGATTAATGATGGTGATCAAACTGTGATATTTACTCGATCAAACATAGCTGAAATGTGCATGACAACAGCCAATCAGAGTCAAGCTTTTCCTGCTTCACTTCTAAGTAAGAAGTAAACAGAATGACCGAACATGGAGCTAAACTATAACCTCAGTTATTTTCAGTTGTGTAGAAAATTCAGACGCTCCTGAACGCACCATCCGTATTCATATAATGTTGAATGAGCTGAGGCTGGGGCCACCGTGAAATCATAAGCTAATTAAGCATTGCATGCAGAAGCCAGTTTAATGTAGTTTCAGAAGGTGGCGCTATGGCAGTAGGTAGGCTAGAAGGGTGGACCGAGCTCTGGTATGTGAAATCATAAACAGATGTAATGTTGTATGGCCAAGTACCATTGACTCCCTGTTTCATGGCGAGACATCGAAGTTTAATACACCACCTAACTCAGTCTGAACAATGATGCTCGCTTCGTCCAGGTCTGAGGACTTCGATGACCCCCATGCAGACCTCGTGGAGCTTTGGCAGGAAACCTGAAGTGGACACAGCAGTGCTTCACACTTCAACATGGTCTGATGGCTCATGTTGAGTATGCACCCTGTAAACAGCCCAAAGTGATAAAAAATCAGGCACTCGTATCAAAACGGCAGAGTTCCTGATGTCCCTGAATTCAACTCGCTCTTCACCGCTCAATAAGCGAATTTGATTGAGTCTTGGAGGAACCGAGACGCAGGATTATTTTCACTTTTAATCCTCAGAGGACATCAGAAAATGAGAACTCTGAGCCGAGACATTTTTTTCCTGATCATTATCAGGTAGATGTGACATGCTCGGTCTCCTTGTGAAAAACCAAAATCCCATCAATTACATGCAGAGAGACCAAGGAGACACACTAAATCCTGGAAGGTGTCTGTGTTGAATGTTAATGAGCTCTGTGTTAGAGATAAGAACGCTGCAGACAGATGAACAGCAGTGAAAATTCACTGCCAGTATCAGTAAGCTGTCAAAACAACATCCTCATGTGGCTGAAATGTGTTTTATATCCTTTTTTTCTCAACACCTCTCTGTGATAGCATCATCAGCATGAATCTCTCTGCAGAAATCCATTAAATCTGATTCTGATACCGTTAAAAAGCTCGTGCTCGAGGTGTAAAGTTTCCTCTAATCGCCCCATTTAGAAAAAGGACACCTGCTCTTAAATAACAGGATGAAACTGAAGACAGGGCGCCACAGTTTACAAGAAACCAGTTTCTATCTGATCATATGATGCTGCTAAACGTATCAGATTGATTAAAGACCGGGCTACTTGATGCCTTTCTTGAACTGAGTGGTATAACTTTTGTTTTCAGATGTTCTTTTTTCTCTGCAGGTTTCAAACTCTTCCTTTGCTGCAGGGATTTTCTTGCAAAAGTCGTCAAAGTCGTCCAGTAGTCGTCAAAGTTCTTGTTTCCAGTTTCAACACTATTCTATTCACCATGGCAACCAAATGCAAGCGCAGTATGTTTGAGTTGAAGCTGTTACATACTGTGCAGCTGGTAATTGTGCTGCAGTAAATGTATCAGGGAGAAGCTGGAGGAGATAGGCTGTAGTTTTGAGGAGGTGCACAGCCGGTTTTGTGCAGGGCTCACTGTGTAGCTGCAGGAGACTCAGCATTTATTCATGTAAGGTTGCTGAACGTAGCTGTAAACATATCACATCTGACTTAACCAAACGTCGTGGAGCCATTGTTTGAGTAACTTCAGAGGCTAACTTTGTTGTTATTCAGCAGCTAGCTTCAGAGTAACATTAGCATCGCCGTCCGTTGTCAGTTAAAGTTCGAAGTTGTCCCCGTCCTCCCAGCGTTTGTGGTAAAATCTTTGAAAGCTAACCGCACAATCTGTAGCGCCTCCTCCAACATTTTGCCGTGCACTGTTGCTGAATAGTAAGATGGTACGTGAACGCACATGCAAGTAAAGAAACACGCGTGGCAGAAGACGAATCTGTTACCAGACCTTATACCAGAAGAATTAAAGGTGGGGTAGGCAGGATCTGAGGAAGTGCCAGTTTTTGGGAGAAATCTTGAATGTAAACATGACCTCCAGGACCCGAGGTCAACAGTTTAGCGATGGCGCTACAACACGCTACAGCAGGTCCGTTTGACAAGAAACACTTCTGTTACAGACACTTGTCTTACTTTGTTAAAGCGGTTTACCTGTCCAGCAGAAAGGTTACAGGGTCACCAAGATCCCCAAGCGTCCCCCATCGTTTATGTTGACCCGGCTTTTTAGCTCTTGTCTGGTCTACCTCCTTTTTAAGCGCCCGTTATTCCTCCAGAGTCTCCGGTATTTACTTTGTTTTCTTGCTTGTGTCGGCAGTCGTGGCCAAAGGAGGATTCAGACAATTTTCCGAACTTTCTGGTTGGTTTCTACTGTCCGATATTGTAGCACGCTAACTTTGTTTGGGCTCCTGAACGACACGGGGGAGCAGCATCTGCCTCACAACCAATCAGGTTAGAGGAGGTGGAGAACGGCTTTGTTTACAGTCAGAAAGAGCGGACCGCTCAAAAAAATGTAAATGTTGACGACACAGACATAAGAGAACACAGAGATATCGATATATTACCAAATGTCATCAATAACTAATAACTATTGACTGATATTAAAAGCTTTTTTCTATATACACCACAAAAAAAGATGCTTCTTTAACGGATTCCTCCCTACCCCACCTACATAAAAATAAAAATAACAAAGTATTCATTGATAGATAAGCCTTAGTCCTCCGAGTCCCCATGCAGCCAGAGTCCGAGTCATCAGCGCACAAGTCTGAGTTGAGTCACAAGTCCAGCATATCCCCACTCAAGTCAGACTCACATTCTACAATGCTGGTGATGAGTCAAAATATTCAGTTTTTGCACAAACATGGAAAACAGGTTTGCAAGGTCCAGATTAAGCTGTTGAGTGGACCCCTGTTTAATGAATCATTGCACCCTTATGACTGTAGACTAGAGCAAGAGCCTTGTGCATTTACACTTATTACTGAGACGAACAAGATTAATGAGTTCATAGGGTCAAACTTGGATGTAAAAACCACAAGATTAGGTTGTGGGTCCAAACATCCGCACAATAATCTGAGTATTTATAGCAAAAGTCTCAGTGGGGAGTCCAGTGATTTGTCTGAGTTTTATCTCACGGCCTTTGCCTTACAGCCCTTTAAGTCAGAACGTGTCTGTTTTTTCAAGACACAAATCTGAAAGTCAAATTTCATCTCGTCTTTCTTGGATTTGCGCCGGCTGGTTATTGACCTCAAATTAAGGCTCATTTTCCAAAAATCTATTAAACATTGGCTGTAGGGAGGAATAACAAGCAGGCTGGCTGTCCTTCAGCCGGAGAAACAGCTTGTAGAAATCTTGCTGAGTTGTCCTTGTTGAGGGAACAGAGGTCCTGTATTGTCTGGAGGTGCGCTGCCCCGACCTCGACTCTGAACTCTGAGCAGATCTCTCTCAAACACACAAAGACGATCCGCTGGTGTGCACAGTTCAGTCTGAGAGAGGCAAATTTAAAATGTTTTATGTGAAATTGCTCCGAACAGATGGGTGAAATTACTGCATGAGCAGTTCTGGACGAGTTTTTCTGCCTTTCAGGATTTCAAAGAGCGTCTTCATTCATGATTTTAGGCATGAACAGAAAGAATATGTGATATTTGGAGCCAACGCAGGTAGAGGCCGTGACTGTACGAACTCTCAGGGTTAAAATGAAACACGTGCGAACAGCAAGAGCTCCTCCCCAGGAGTCTAATTTCACTTTATTCATTTAGATAAGGAATAAAACTTTATGCAAATGTTCAGGTTTGTTAAATGATTTAATCTGATTTATGCTCAGTTATTCATGAATTGGGAATAATTGCAGAGGCTCATTAGTAAGTCCATTAGAGGAGCTGAATTGGACTGGACCAAATAGATAAAAAAAATAATGAATGAGAGGAAAAAAAAACCTCAGTGCACGCACACACCCACATAAGAACACACATCCACCCTCATTTTTTTATGAATACATTAAAACATCTGACACTGAACATGTGTCTCTGAGCGTCTGTCAAACACAGATGAAAAACTGCGTCTTCCTTGATCCATGCTCATTTATAATCGAACACGAAGACGGCGGTTTCTGCCAGCTTTACACTTTTCCTCATGACTCACAGCGAGGCTCCGAGCCAGCTAAGTGGCATTTTGTTAAGTGCACATGCTCCAGGTTTTGTTCCTCGCCTACGTCTGTTTGGTATTTTGGTGACTCGGTGTCAGCTTGACTGCAGCTGAGTGGGAGGAGAGGGTGTGAGGACGCAGGAGGCTGTTCTGTAAAATCTGCTCTGATCAATCGGTCAAGATGGAGGGCGCCAAAAACCGTGAGAGTAGATTCGCCACGACGACCGTCATCCCTACTTCTGTGCACGAATGGTTGCTTAAAACAAAGTGAATAAAATATCTCATAATTAACTAATCTCTCATCCTGCTCATTCTGTCCCTTAACTTTTCAGACAAATCTGCCTCATCCTCCTGTCCTCTCTCCTGCTCCTCTCCCTGCTCTCTTCTCTCCTCTCTCTTCCTCCTCCTCTCCCTGCTCTCCTCTCTCCTCCTCCTCTCCCTGCTCTCTTCTCTCCTCCTCCTCTCTCCTCTCTCCTGCTCCTCTCCCTGCTCTCTTCTCTCCTCCTCCTCTCCCTGCTCTCCTCCTCCTCTCTCCCTGCTCTCTTCTCTCCTCCTCCTCTCTCCTCCCTCCTGCTCCTCTCCCTGCTCTCTTCTCTCCTCTCTCCTCCTCCTCTCTCCTCCCTCCTGCTCCTCTCCCTGCTCTCTTCTCTACTCTCTCCTCCTCCTCTCCCTGCTCTCCTCTCTCCTGCTCCTCTCTTCTGCTCCTCTCTTCTCTCCTCTCTCCTACTCCTCTCCCCGCTCTCCTCCTCATCTCCCTGTTGTCTCCTGCTCCTCTCCCTGCTCTCCTCATACTCTCTCCTCTTACCTCCAAAGTAAGAGTTGTTTTGGGGGCGGAGCCACGCCTCTCTACGTTTAAGAAAGCAGAATGGTGCGTTTCATAGGACATAAACCTTAAATCGCCTCTCAAATGACCTCAGCAGATTCTGTGATACTTGTGGTCTCTGCTGCTTTTTGGCAAACACAGATTATGATACTTCAGATTTATAAAGAGGCTTTCAGATTGACCTCAATTGATAAGAGTCAAGAGAACATCCTCCGCCCTCTTAACACCCTCTCCGTCCACTCAGCTACAGCCGATCTCTTATAATAATAAGTGGACTTAGTTCAGACAGACGTCTGTCTCTGCCTCGTGGTTAGAAGTTTATGGTGCCGGGACTCTCTGGTGTCCTATCAGCTCTATTCTCTCTCCATCTTCAGCTCGTTTGAAGAGAGATTAAAGCAGAGACAACAAAGGCATCCAAACATCAGAGTATCACATTTCACTGACCCATTTCACTGTTGACTGTGTTTTTTTAGTTTTCCTTTAATAGACGGCCAAATGTCGGTTCGTGTCCAGATGTTTTCCAGCAGCTAATCCAGCTCAGGATTTAAAAAGAGGAGTCGCAAACATCACGCTGGTTCGGGTTTCGGTTTGAGGACAGACAAAACGCACAAAATGGTGTTTCTCATTAATTTACTACTTCAATCTCCAGCCTTTCATCTTCACATCCGCACGACTCTCGCTCCATTTCAAAGTCGCACATGTTGATTATTTTAGTCCAATTCCATGTTGCATATTTGTTGGAGTGTGTTATTCAACTCTCTTGGTTGAATAAATTCAAGTAAATTAAAATGAAGAATAAAACCCTAATCAATGGTTCACAAACTGTAGAGGCAGTACTATTAACATTTATTAAATGATTCATGATTGACGCTGCTGCCAAACAAAACCAAATGACTTCTCCAATGAATCATCGGGGGCAGATGATGAATGTTACAGTTCAGAGCGGCTTTTATTTCAGCTCCACAATTCAATTTGAAGCATCACAGATTAGCTGACTGCTTAAGAGGAGGCGATTTAATTCAAAGAGCTGTTTATTAATGTGCGTTTGATCTAAACAGCACAAACAGCAGTGGACAAACTCCCTCTCAGCAAACAAAAGTGTAAAAACACCACAAACTTCTCCCCATCCCCTCAGCGAAGAGTCCTTTCTTCTCTGCAGTCCAGTCAGGTGGAGTCATTGATCGTCCCATCATGTGCAGACGGGTTTGAAAACTATTAACAAGACAAACAAGGCAGCATTGACACCCCTGCACAACTGTACGGCGATAAAAATGATGAGAAAACAAACGAGTATGAGGCAGCGGAGAGAATAACAAAGACAGAGGGTCAGGAAGGGCAGCCGGAGCGAATCGTGATGATACGGTTTGAGAAAATGGATCTGAGCTTCAGGGCCAGAGGAGGAAACTTAAAATAGTTAGTCAGACTTTGTGAAACATTGACGTTTATGTAGGAACTTACTGAAGGTTATATAACCGTCATTTCAGTATGAAGAGGACCCTGACTGCACGTTGAATTAGACTCTGAAATACTGTAGAGACCGTGTTCATGGTTCACCTTGACATCTGAATGAAATTCCCCTCATACTCCCTTTGAAGAACACTTGGCTCAGACACGAAAGATGACAGTAGTTTTTACTGGTAAATGAATAACTCAAAGTACTCTGACTTTGGTGTTTTCTGAAAGTTTCTTTGTCGGAGGGTCAGTGAAGCGCTGCTGTGTGGGTGTTTTTAATAAGCTGAAGTTAAAACAGGAGTACCGACAGCTGTTAAGACTCAGATGTGCTGCTAAGAATTGAGGATCATATTTAATTGTAAATGTCATTAAAACAAAAATAGACTTTAAATGTGTGACAGGGAGCTTCACAAAAGTAGATTTGTTTCATCATGGAGACACCCTGCTGTGTCAGAGAACGAGGAGTTCACACTTGGTCCGAGATACTCGGCAAATATGTGTGTGTGTCTGTAGGTGGTGTGACAGCTAACACTGATTATTGTGGCAAAGCTCTGCTCCTGCTGCATGCTGGGAGTCGCAGTCTTTAAAACCGTCTCTGTGCAGCAAATCTTCTCAGATATGAAGTCTCAGTTTCTCCACTTCATCAGTTATCACACGATCATTACATCATATAAAAGTGTTGGTGAGGAAAGTCTGTGCTATTTTCATCCATCCATCCATCCATCCATCCATCCAGTAACTGCTCTTTCATTCATTCATCCATCCAACTGTAAATTCAACCATCCATCCATCCATCCATCCATCTATCCATCCATCCATCAATACCTTCATTCATCCATATAGCATCCATCCATCCATTCTTCCATCAATACCTACATCCATCCATCCAGTAACTATTCTTTTATCCAACCATCAATTCAACCATCTATCCATCCATTCATCCATCCACATATATACGTCCATCAATTACACCATCCATCTATCCATCCATCAATAACTTCATTCATCCATCCACCCATCCATCCATCCATCTACCCATCCATCCTTCCATCAATACCCTTATCCATCCATTCATCCATCTGTCCATCCATCCATCCACCGACCCATCCCTTCATCCTTTCATCCACCCATTTAATAATACCTTCATCCATCCATCCAACCTTCAATACTTAATTCATCTGTCCATCCAATTAGCCATCTATCTTGCATCCTACAATCATCCATCCATTTATCCATACTTACATCTGTCCATCCGTCCTTCCATCCATCTGTCCGTCAATCCATGTGTCTTTCTTTTCATCTATCTAACAAACCAGTCATCATTCCGTCTACCCTCTATTAATCCATCCATCTGGAATCCTGCAATCATCCATCCATTTGGTCATCCAATAACCCATCTATTCATCCATCCATCCATCCATCCATCCATCCATCTCAGCATCTGTCTGAAAAGTTGGACAAAGACCTCAGAACTCTCAGTAGAGTTGTGAAGGTCAGTATGATGGAGCTGAATCGGGTCACCTTCTTGTAAAGGGATTCTTCAAGTCCAGGTCCTTGGGCGATACTCAAAGTCCTGTACCGGCCCTGAAGTACATTTACAGCCTATTAGAGCAGACAGGGGGGTCTGGGTAATAAAGAGGAAGTAGATGTTCCTGATTCTTACAGATTTGAAGGTGTGTCTGTGAAAATGTAAAGACTCAGAGTGATGGATTAATGTGGGTCATTCACATCGAGGTGAGACCTGGAGAAAGTGTGCAGACAGACGCCCCTCCACCTCCTCTTCCCTCCATCATCTCTCTGTTTGCTGTCATGTGTGTTTTTTCCGCTGTCTTCATGCGTTCCTCTCTCCCTCCCTCTCTCTGTGCTCGTCTCTCTCCGTTCCTGCCAGTATTCTCCTCCTCAGAGTCCGTGTAACCCTGATGTACTCCCGACCACTCTCTGAGCTCAGAGCGGGATTCCTTTTGGCTGCATTTTCACTCAATATTGCACTCAACTCTGAGCTTGAGCAGACATCCGGCCTCAGGCAGGACACTGCACTCCAGCAGAAAGTAATGTCTGAGAGAGGCCTAAAATACACCATGAAAGAGTCGGAAAAATGCTCCTGCTGCTCTCTGTTTCCCTGTCTGAGGACTCATTCTGACCAGGATCAGACAGACAGAGGAGACACTGATTTATTATTAGGTGTAATAGGTGTGCAGCAAAAAAACCAAAGATCTTAAATGATGACCTTCTCGGTTCGAAAAACACTGACTTAAACTCAACGCTTAAAATTCAAGACGACGCTCTGCACGCCTCCAGCAGCTACAAATCGTTTTCTCCTCGGTCTGTTTTGTTTGCTGTGGCTGTAATCACCAGGATAGTGCGAGCATCTTTCTGCTGCTGTAATGGGAGCCAAACAAAAGCAGTCATTTACACTTAGTCAAAACATGTTGCCAGGCAACCCAAACTGGTGTTTGGATGCTGCTGGATATCCACAGGAGCCCTCAGATGACAAATGTGATGTGTTATTTAGATAAACCAAAATGTGGTTGAATATTTATATCAATGCCAGTCTGTAAAGAAACATAAATATGTCAGCGTGTAAATAAGACCATAACTGACTAAAAGTGTGATTTATTTCAAAGTTATTGTCTTTGACACTCGCTCTGCCTCTACATATTAACCCTGGTGTGGGTGTGAGCTTCTGTTATGTGTCAAAATTTATGACCTCTATCAATCACAGAGTCAGCTGATCAATACAAGCCTTCAGTGACGGATTAGTCCCAATCTGTTCCTTTCACTCTCAAACTCCTACATTCATACTTCTATAATAGACCCTGTGGATAGTGTAGACATTTTAAAGTGTGTCTTTGGGGGCTTGATGGACATCATACTCAGACACCGTCCAGTTCAGTCGTGCAGCTTTAGGTTGGTCTAGATGGGCCCGGGCCTGGACCCGTCCACTTGGCACACATGCCCAGCCAATCAGAAAACCTCTAAATGGATCACATTTATGCTGTTGCATCTGTGATTGTGAATAAAAGGCTACGGGATGCTGAAGATAAGATTAATTTTATTTATACCCGAAGGGACATTCAATAGGTTTTTTATTTTATTTCATTTTATTAATTGTATTTTATTATATTACCTTTATTATTTTATATTTTTTATTGTATTTTTATTTTATAATTCAATTAGGCATTATTACCTCTGACGTGGCTACCATAAATTAGTAAGCAGTCAGACGAGCACTTCTTTTGAGCTGCAGAACCTCATAATTTCATTTGTTAACGTCTTTGGTTGGTTGTTTTTATCTGTTGTTTGTCTTGCAGTGTGTGTGAAGCTTTTTTATGCTGCTGTCTTAACAAGGACTGTCTTTAAAAAAACGGATTTATCCCTAAATCTAGTAAATTAAAGAATAAATCAAATAAATAGGAATAAATTGAGTTTCTACAGCCAAGTGAAACCAGTATTTGCATGTAAAGATCTGGACCATGAATTTGGGACTCTTCTACCTCTCATCGATGTGAACACACTACGATGGTTATAGACCCTTTATTTGATGTGTTTGATGGATTTTGACCTAATTTCCCCTGTGACTCTGAATCAGTGGGAGCTCTTCTTCTGCGATGAATTTGGCAAAGCAGGAACAGTGAGCATGTGTGGAGAGCTCACACAGAAGCTGACAGCTCTGACTCATGCTGCCAGTTGGTCTGAAATCAAGCTGCATAATGACATAATGTTCATTGAAGCTATTCAGACTCTGAAATAACAGAGTCATTTCTGTGCAAAGAGACGTCAGTCAGTGGCTCTAAAGTTGGTAGTTATTGAGCGATTTAGTTTGTGTGTCTGTCTGAGACAGCTGTGGGTGGAGACCAGGATTTGGAGGTATGTTTGACAGCAGTCGAGCCTGCCCCCCATGTGAAACCTATTTCCAGATTTCCCCTCTTATTAGCCTGATAAATGATTGATAATGAGCGGCCTGTAGCCTGTTTATTTAACTTAAAGATGTGTGTTTATGTGTGTGTAATTCTGTGTGGGAAGTTTTCACAATCCCGCCTTGCGCCTCTGGGAAATTGTTATGAAGTCAATTAAAGTCAAATAACTCGCAGATCCTCTCGTCCCCTTCTCACACAGACGGTTGTCTCGATGCCTTGTGATGTTCTGACACTAATTTGCGTCTTAATCACTTGAGGAATTCACCGCAGTGACTCACATATGTTGGTTTTCACCTGCTCTGAAATGGATGGATGTATCGAGGAGGAGAAGCGGCTCCGGCCTCATTATTTCAGCGGTATTTAAAGAGGCGTTTAGTCACCTGAGACCTTTACTGACCTCTGTGAGCGAGCGCGGCTTCCCCCCTTCACGTTTGTTGGTTCAGGCGTCACTGTGTGTCAATTATAGTTGTTTCACTAATTAAAAACTAATAATAAGAAGAACTTTATTGAACCTCTGAAAAAAGAGTTACTTATAAGAGTTATAAGAGTGAGTTAGACAGACCCGGTTAGATCAGGATGAGATTTAGTTTAGTTACAGAGCAGCTCTTTTGGCCGTGTGAACTATCTTAAAATATGATTTTTCTGTCTGAAAAACTCAAGTGTCTGCAAACGCACATTTATCTTTTTATTGATATAGACATAAAAAACAGAGTTTCACACAAATTATACACAAATCATCGTAAATTACCAGAAACTCTCCAGCTGGTCTCACGAAGCGAGTGGATTTCAGTGAGTCGGTGTGCTGAAACCTCATCCTCCTTGGTTGAGTCTTGCACCATCATATTATTGTTTTGTACTCAGCTGCTCCTGCTTGAAGAATCTGAAGCCAAATGGTGTTGATCGCACTATCAACCAGAAAATATATAAACATTACCACCACTAAAATATGCATAAAGTTTTTGGAGTTTTCACCAATGTCAGAGTCGCCGACATCCCAAATCGGTGACCGCTCACAGATATATTGGTTATAACTTTAACTTTATTTCATATTTAAACTCTTTATCCCTATATTTGAGACAGCTCTGACTATAAACTACTATTTCATGTCTCCTGAGTCAGATCCCTTTACATGGAGCTTGAGTTCACCTCTGGCCTGACTCGGTGGAATTATTTACCTTAAACTTAACACATCGTCACATTGGATAAGATGAAACCCAGACTAAATCAAGTTTAACCTAATTATAATTATAAATCAGTGTTTTAGAGTTTTTGTTGTTTTTTTGACAAATTCTGCTACACTCACATTTACCAAATGCACAGATATCCAAAAAGCAACAACGGTGTAATTTCGTCCTTAATTAACCGAACCAGCAGGATGCTCTTGACTTCAGTGACCTCTACCACAAGATAAATATGATCAGGAGACACACACATGACCTGAGGGTCTGTTTCTATTCCTGAAATCTCTCTGAAGCGTGAAGTGTGAGGACAGTTTGTGGGCATTCGCCGTCCTCTTTTTGCCCACGCCGCGGCTCATACATCATTAACTGTCTGGTTCAGGAAGATGGGGTCATCACAGTTTGACGGCCTGAGTGGACTCGGCTATTATGGTGTGATGGTGCATTACGTGGTCTGGAGATGGAGGTGATGAAACCTTCAACTCTGTGGCACCAGATATTTTTGATCACCTGTTATAGGATTGTCTTTGTTTGTGATTCATGCTGGACGGACATGTTGGGGCGTTCAGAGCCGATCTTAACGACTGAGAGAAACCGTTTAGAAAGTTCGTGTTTGTTGTGTGGATGTTTGTGTCAGTGATTATGGCTGATATACAAAATAAAGTAAAGGTTTTGATTGACTGGCATGTTTGTGTGAGTTTGTGGAGTCTGAATATACGAGGTTATACAGTCAGTAAGTGTGTGACTGATTGCAGTTTTGGAGCCTTGCTGATAATGATTGCTCCTCTTGTTTTGCTGTTCGTCTTGTGCAGGTGGTGTTTTCCTCTTTTTCAACAGCTCTCGACTGATTTTGTCAGATTTTGCCCAAATTAGTCATTGTGGTAATTTTGTGTTTCAACACTGAGTATCAGGACTTCCTGTTCGGGGAGCTGTTGGCCTGACGTGATCTGTAGGTGGTTTTCATAGTCGTGCTCAATAAAGTTTCTGGACAATAAACAAAGGTCAGCTCTGAGCTGCAGGGAAGTTGAGGGAGTTACACAAACATGACATTTACAATCATAACTATCAGTGCACAGAGCAGGTTTTAATGGGCATCACTGAGCTGAGTAAACAATTGCATGAACGCTCTGCTGGTATGAATCCTCATCATGGCCCAAAACATCCTGCTAATGAATGCTGATAAATGGTAAATGTCAGGTCAGGATAGCTCTGCTTCATTTCCATGTTCCTCTTTCTCTGAATCGCCTCACTTTAGGACTGATAATGGAATAAATACACCTGTAGAAGCAGAGGTCAATGTAGGGCTGCACGATTTTAGCCAAAAATTAGATCCAGATTTTTTTCCCTAAGAACTCGATTTTCGATTTTTTAGTCAGTGACTCCTTCAACAAACTTCACTGTAAAAATAAAAAGTTGTTCTATCATCTCTTAAAACAAAACCACTGAAAATGATGTTGTGAATATGCCAAGCCAGTAAGTGGCGCTGTAACACTGCACAGGAAATGCACAAAAGACAGAAGAAGAGTACAGAGCATGTGTATAACGGTTGTTTTGGCCGGGCACACACAGACGCCATCAAAGAGTTTTGCTGTGTCACATGATCACTTTCAGAGATGCAGATAGACATCCACATGGAGATGAGATGGTGGTCGTTTACAGATTTATTCACTCTCTGACCCGTTTTTAAAAAGTACCGTTTACAGTCACCCGAAACGCCGTTTTCGTGTGGATGAAACGCCGATACGACAAAAAACATTTTGTGCATTTTGCTTTTCATCTGAAACTGTGAAGCTGTACCAATTCAACACGACTGACTCGCTCTTGTCCTATTTAGCCACATAGTTATTGCCTTTGTTTGCAAACGCCATGTTTGTTTACACTGGTCTGTGTGGGAACCGGGGAGCGCTCCCACAGGAAGGGGGGGCCTATGGTGGCCTGGAGGCGTGAGACATAATAGAGAGGAAAATCGATTTAACAATTTTAATTTTTTAACATTGTCATTATCAAATAATCCGATTTAAAATCAATTAATCGTGCAGCCTTGGGTCAATGATTGGTGGTTTCTTTTATAATAGTCTAGATTCCTGAGTTTGAGTCTAATTTTGGTTATAATTGGCGTCAGTGTTTGTGATATGACAGTTGAGGTGGTGTCCTTGGCGTGGATGGTGGAAAAAAGACCTCCAGGTAGGCCTAAAGCTCGCTGGAGGGATTTTACATCCCATCTGGTCTGGGAATACGTCCGGATCCCACAGGAGGGGTTTGGGTTGGCGTGTTGAGACTGACGGCCTCACGACCTGATCAAAGTGAAGTGATGGAAAAATGAAGAGAAATGAACTTATAAGAATTAAGACCCTACGCTTAAATCTAATATTTGGATTGCAATTGTTTTTTATTGTTTTTTCGTCAAACTATTATTATCCCCTCCCACGTAAAACACTGATACATAACGACTGGCATAAGCCTGCTGCCTGAGATTAGAGCAACAAGAACCACAATGTGTAACAAAAACTTCAACAACCTAAAATGAAACTCCTTTAGACCAGAGCTGCTTTGACATGTTAGTTTTAGTCTGAGCTGTGAAAGTTTGAATCCACAGGATGAACAAAGGTTCAGTAAAATGAAGCTCATTTGAACATTTCCAGGATAAAAAATTACATATTCAAATGTGGAGGAAAAAAAGTCCCTTCAGGTAGTCAACAACTCTCAGGTTTCATTTCTGCACTCAGCTGGTAAAAGTTGGTGAAAGAGTCATTAAGCCGTTTCTTTTCCTCCACATCGGACTAACTGCCACTTACAGTGTCCATCATGAGAAGCTGAGGTCTGAATCGCACACCTTCAACCTTTCATGGGTTCAGTTTGAAGTTTTCTCCGACTCTCTTTCTTTCACTCTTTTGTGCTTTGAGCCTCAATAGCACCAAAACTCCAGATTGACCGTTCAGCTCCATACAAAAACCCAAACCTGTCATTCAGAGGTGAACCTCACAAAAAGAAAAATAAGCTGCTGCGACCGGGGAAATCTAACACAGGTGGAAGAACAAATCACACACGTGAACTGAGGCCAAAACAAGTGAAAACAGTCGATGTAAAGACTGTAAGTGATGTTTGATTTATTGAAACAGCAGCTGGAAGGAGATTTTCGCTTCGTCACTGAGGTGTTCAGTTAAAGGTTTTCATGTCGGTTTGTTTTTGTGCTCCTGATCAGACGGAAAGAAGCAGGTTTTCTAATTAAAACAGCGTGATAACCTTGAATCGAAACATGAAAGTCGCTGTTTCACTGATGTGGATGTTGGAATTGACATGTCTGAGCAGGTCATCTCTATTAAAATGACAGAAAAGAGGAAGCTCTTCAGCATGCAGGCGGAGTAATACCCATTTCTGCTCATTCCTGTTAAATAAAAAATCTCATCAACAAGGCAGCGGACTCCTTCGCACTGATTCATTGTCCTTTGTGAATATTTTCCAGCTGAGTGAACCACCTGCTTTCCTAATTTACCTCCTCACCCGAGCTCCAGGCGAAATTATCTCCTTTTTTTGGCCTCCATTTTTCTCTCTCCTGGTCCGAGCCAGCGGGGGAGAATCTGTCATGAGCTGACCCTCTGCTCCTCTGACACATTTTTCCCTGTTTTAGATGCTGAGAAGCAGTATCCGACCAGACTTTGGACGGCACTCATTGCCTCTAGTTGCACTCGGTATAATAGGATGCTTGTCTTTGCCTGCTGAGAGGGAACACCAGTGTCGGGACGGCTATTGTTTGTGATTAGGGACTCCTACTGAGGCCTGAGCTTACTTTTTAGGAGACAATATAAAGTTGAAGGTCTTCTCTGTGGATCCTGTGTTTACCCACAGACAGGGGTCTGATGGAAGTATCTAATGACGCCATGTTAGGTGAGCAGAGACAGGGAAACAGGCTTGAATGATGAGAACAGAGTGTGGGAAAAAGGGTGAGATCGGGTCGAGTTTACACCCCGCATTACGTACATTTGTGTTGCCAGTCAGTTTCCTGAATAAGTAAATAAATCAGTTTTATTCCTGCAGAAGTAATTGAGCTGACTCACATTTAAAACAAACAAAAAGGTTCTTGGAGTACATGCTGCTCCTCCCTCTGAAGGTCCTTATTCACCGTCAGTATCAATGAGAAGTAATTGACTGTAATTTGCATTAAACCATATGATATTGAACCAATTTGGACCGATCTGCAGCTGCATTACAGGCTCAGAGTTACTGCTGCAGCTGCTCCGCACATGTGCAGTCAGCTGCTGTAGAACAACATCATCTGCTTGTCGTGGATGTCTAAGTTCACAGGCCAGGTCTTCTTCAAGATCACTGGATTCCTCTCTTTTATTTTGAAAGGTTCCTCTGTCACTTCCTTTGTTCACTTTGCTGCTGAGATCAAAATCCAGTCTCCTCTTTCAGTTCTGCAGATGATTATTCCTGCATAGATCTGCTGCAGACAGTCTTTCGAAGTGCAGCGCTGTGACCGGTGTTTTATTGATCTGAATGTATGTTTGCAGGTCTGAATAATCCAATGATTTCCATGAACAACCTTACATACAATCAAACCGTTGTTTGGAAAAAACAACAAAATAAACCTGCAAAGATGATCTTTCCTGCCACAGCGCTAAAACTACCAGAAAGTGTTTTTCTAACCATGGTACGCACGTGCATTTACAACCTTAGGAGGACCAAACATCCCCTTTTACCCTGACATGACCTCTTTTTGGGGGCTGTCCGGCCTTGTCCGAGCGATTTTATGAAATCCTTTAAATGTCCGGAGTTTTCATGGAAGTTTTGAGTTTGTGTCACGTGGACTAACTGAGTTAGAAGTGCGTAAAAACACTCGACTCTGTGACTCCGCCCCCAGTTTAGTTGTGTCCTCTTTTTTTGGGGATGCAGAATAAGGTCACCCTTCAACTCTAATCCAAACATTGGACTAATGCAGACGTTTTCACCATATTCACCATGACTTTGTGGAGGCCCCTGAATATAACCACTTCTACCTAATTAGCTCATCTCAGCCAATTCAGTGGTTCATGCCTCAAGCGTGCCGTCAGCCCTGTCAGCCCTCTGCCTGCAGCACCAACTCTGTCAGGAGGTCTGTGCCGACCACAGAGGCTCCAGGGTGCTAGTCATCAAGAAGCTTCTGCTCTTTAGATCCAATCAGCAGCACTTCAGCGGCTCATTCAGCCCTGACACCTGATATGGAGCCACTCCAAATACTCCAGAACGGCTGCAAAAGCCGTGATACGGAGGCTATTCTGAGGCCGTGTGGGTGATCTGGCTTTTTTCACTGCCTGACACAGTTTGAAACGTTTTCATTTGAAATGGTTTTCATAATTGTTGATCTGATCGTGAGTTTGAGTAAAAAAAGACTGTACTTTTTATCTTTATACTGCAGCAAAGGAAACCAGCTGCTCAACCGTGGATCGGAGCTTTTAAAGCTCATGTCTGGTGGAGTTTTTCCCCAGTAACCCCTCATCTGTCTCTGAACTTCTAATTGAGGTTGCCTCTCGGTGATTGCCCACCAGAAATTCAGCTTAGCTGCAGGTCAAAGTTCATCTGTGTTAAATACCGACAAAGTTTCCAGTTTCAATCAGAACCTCTCTGACTTTTCTTTCCAGCTAACTCTCCTTTTCTGTCGTCCACATGCTCACAGTTATATAAAGTAGAACTTAAGAACAAGTGACAGTGTGCAGGAGTCCTTCATACATCTGGAAAGTCCATTTAGAGCAAAAACAAGGCAGAACAGACAAGAGGAGACTGGCAGAACACACAGGTACTACAAATGGTACCAAATGGCAGATGTGCTTCATTTCCTCAGAGTTATGTGCTGGTGTTGTTTTTGAACAGACATTAAATTCATGATGAGACCATGAAAGGTTTATTCCTGCATGAACGTGTGTTTCTAAGGAGAGAATAAAATAACTTGTGGATTCATTTAGGGAGTTTCTAGAGAGTTTAAGCTGCAGCTTTACAAGACATTACCAATTAAACCAGGTCTGAAACACGCAAACTCATCAAAACTTGACCAATTTTATGATATATATCAAGGAAATACAGGGATGAGTGCTGGAACCTTGTGGTCTTTGCCGTCTGCTCTGACCTCGATGTGAAGGAACGACCCTCCTTCACAAGTGTCAAGCAAGTAAGAGCGCCGGTACTCAGACTGAATTGATCGACTGGTGATCAGTTCAAGAAGTTCAGGAACAGGAAAACCAATCCTGTCCTTCATACACTCCCACTTTCAAACTGCGTCACAGAACTTTGCAGAACAATCGATCTGAAGCCGCGTGATTCCTGCTGTGTTGTTCTGCGTCCACTCTCATGCACGTCTTGCACACTTTAATCTGACATCTGCACTGTTCTGTGTTTTGAATTGCAAGAGGCCCAACAGGGTTTTAAAATCTGAATGGAGCTGCAAGAGTGTCTAGACCAGGATCTGGAGAACGATCAGTGACTGCATTATAAACCTCAGCTTATGTCCCATTTGCATGTAATTGTATTTCAGCATTATGCTCTGTTGCCTTTTCAGAGTCAGCGTGGATAAATTCAGCTGGCAGTCCATCAGAAAACTTTACAAAGATGCAGTCAGACAGATCCTCTGACCACCACACAGAATCTATTTAAAACCTGAGTCAAGTTTTGGTGATGAAAACTTCTCTGTGACCTCCAACAGTCTTGGTTCAGGGTTGTGGTTGTCCTGTGCAGCTTCCAGGTAACTATGTTGATGCTGAGTCAGAGTTTTCCGCCTAATAAATCTTTTTAACAAACCTTTAAGACTGGACAGCTGGCTGCTGAGCTTAATTGTTCTCTAAGAATCAGGAAGCAGATGCCAGCAACTTTCGAGTCGGATGCTGACGGGCAACTACTGATCACTTAGTGTCCAGGAGAGGGAAGGAGGCTCCTCCTTCTGCTCGCGCTGTCAGATCCAAAATGAAGCCAGGCTCTAGTTTTAAAAACACTCATCTGTATGCTCCTGCTGCTGTGTTAAAAGCCCGACACAATACCGTCCATATCAGAGTCTCATTTGGGGGAAAGGTCAGACTGTCCGGCTGACAAATTTAAGATGAGAGAAGGTTCGTGTGGTACCACTGAGGTCTTTCTGACTTTTTTTGGCGTGTTGAGAAGCTGTCAGCGTTCCCATTTGATCTGATTAGAGCGTCTGCACCTCTGATCAAAGAATAAGCCTCATTTTCACTGCATCAAAATCACTCGACAAATGGGGACGGCGTGCGTAGCTCCGTACTCGAGCTCTGAACCATGAAGTAAAAGCTTATTTTAGAAGATTACAGATAACTTAACATGCAAAGAAAACAAGCTGCACACAAGCGAAGATTTTTCTGTTGACACACATGAAAAAGCAGATTTTTTTTCTCGCTCCTGCTGTTTGAAGCCATTAGCAGAAGTGCAGTTCTGCACCCTCCCTTTTCCCCTGTCAATCCTTCAAAAGTGAAAGACCACAAGCCTCAGGAGGATCACTGTAATGCATTACCAATGTCAAACAAATCTGAGATTAAACAAGTCCATTTCAGAGTGCTCTAAAAACCGCACAGCTCACTCTGAGGGCTTTGATTCATTACTTAGGTTTGCTGCTACCTTGAGACGTTTTGTTGACGCTCTGCCAAGGTTACATGAAGAGGAGCCAAAATGCATCGTCTGCAGATTTATGCCGTAATATATATCACGTTCCCCGTGGTGAATAGTGAATTAGCACCCCGCATCTGCTCTTCTTAACTTCATCCTGGAGAAGAAGAAGAAGAAGAAAGATGACCTTTGCATTTTTCACATAAAGGTTTCCTGTCAGAGTCCTTGAAGAATCACCCGCTTGTTGTAAATCACTTTGCATGAGCAAGACATGAGTCAGGCAAACTTTAAATGAAGCGATCAATAACAGACAAGTTTAAGATTAGTTTTGTCGCTGCAGCTCTGAAAGTTTTTGCAAGTCAACTAACAAAACGTATTAATTAATCTGGCAAACCTTTCTTAGTTTTGATAGACGTATTGTAAGCCTGTTAAAAAGAGCGAGCCAGAATTTAAAGGGATTTACTGGCATAAAATCAATTTAGGGTCAAACAAGCCAAAACACAGAGTTAGACACCCCCTCAAGAGATGAATGTTGAAGACAGCTTACTTCTCTAGTTAAACAAACTTAAGTAATGACCACACAAAAGCAATACAGAGAGCCATGTGATCAACCAAAACGCCACTCTATAGCCACAAATAATGCTCAGAACAGCACCTAACTTCATCAACAGGACATATAGGGTCCCAGCCATAGTACTAGACACCAAACATCTTTTTAGCTTTGACTAATTTCTTTAACAAAGAGACTAAACACAACTCACCTACTCTCTTCCAGCAGACGCTTGTTTGAAGTGAGACCTCAGGCCAGTCCATTACGAACTTCTGTGGGGTGACGCAGCTCAAGGAAGAACATTTCTAATCATTACTTCATGAAAATACAATCAGACTGAGACGCTAAGGCAGAACTACTGCGTCTGCAGTGTAAAAGGATAATGATGATTATTATTTCAAGGAAATGATAAAGAAATTATCATAAATGTTCTTCCTTGAGCTGTGACACCCCACTGAAGTCTGTAATGGACTGGCCTGAGGTCTTGCTACAAACAAGCGGCTGCTGGAAGAGAGTAGGTGAGTTGTGTCTTTCAGCTGAAGAAATCAGGCAAAGTTACAAAGATGTCTAGTACTATGTCTGTGACCCTATATGTCCTGTTGATGAAGTTAGGTGCTGTTCTGAGCATTATTTGTGGCTATAGAGTGGCGTTTTGGTTGAGCGTGTGGCTCTCTGTGTTGCTATCTTGCAGTCGTTACTTAAGTTGGTTTAACTAGAGAAGCAAGCGATCGGCAACATTCATCTCCCTCGGGGTGTCTAACTCTGTGTTACCGTGTGTTTAACCCTAAGTTAATTAAACGCCAGAATATCCCTTTAAGACCGCAAAACATATCTCTCCTCCTGCAGCAGGAACGGGGGCACAGTGACTTAAAGAGTGAGGATTGATGCCAGCAGTGTAGTTAGTGAGACATACATCCACCTGTATATCAGCAGGATTTACATTAGCCAGCAGAAGCAGCCTCAGCCAAGAGCACAATAACTGGGAATAAATTCAAGTGTTACTCTCCGACGTGAGATTTACAGCGTGAGTACATTCACTTCAAGCCAACAGCTCGATAAAAAAGCTCGATCACCTCTGTATCTACATGAATCACCTGCTGGGAGGTCTTCGCTTTTCCTCTTCCTCACTCCTATAATCAGCCCGCTGCTGTGCAGAGAGAGCGGCTCTACTCCTTCCTCCACCTCTTTATATATTCTGCTCTTAAACTTCATATTTTCACTCCTGCAGGTTGAAGGATTTTGTTTCCACCGGGAATATAAAGTTGCAGCAATAAAGTTAACATAACATGAATAACTATGGCCTGAGAGCAGAGGCCGTGGTTTTACATCTGATTTCTGATGAATTGATGAGCTATAGAGAAGTTATTGCAGATAAATCCAGCTTCCCCTCTGTCTCATTAAAAGTTTTTATGTCTGATGTTTGCACCAACTTGTCAAATTAGAAAAGTTGAGTCCAGAAATAAAAGAAGTGGATTCACTTTTTATGAAAAAGTCTCACAGAGAAGTTCGTTTTCATCTAGATTCTAGGACTCGTATCTGCTGCTCACTGCGTGGGTCAGAGCTGACGTGTTTGTTGTTTCTTTTTATCGTTTCCATAGTGACAGCATGCCAAAGCGGATGGCCTTGATCTGCTTCCTGTCTCTGGTCATGCTGATGAGCATCCTGGGAAACCTGCTGGTCATGGTGGCCGTCTGCAAAGACAGACAACTCAGGTATGATGGAGCGTTTCTCTCCCTCTCTTCTCTTCTGTTTGAGTTTCTACTGAACATATTTCCATCGGTCAGTAGTTCTTTATGAATTAAACTAAAAAAATTAAAGTCATGATAGTTTTGACTGATATGACGATTAATTAGGGTGTGAGATCTGCATCACATGGACTTACCAAAGCACTGTGCACATGTGATCGCTGCAGCCTCTCTCTTATCTCGCTCATTCTGTCCCTTGGCTTTTCAGACACACACACCTGCCTCCTTTTTGCTCCTTTTTCATGTTGAACGAATACCACCAGCTAGTGTTGGGTGGTATGAACAAAATCTTATATCACGGAATGAGTATTTTCATATCATGGTAACAGTATATATCACAGTATGTTTTTCCCTCTGTAATTCACATCTGTCCATTTTTCTTTTATTTTTAAACTCTGATTCATACACAAATGCAAACAAAATGTCAGACCAGTCTAGCGACTTTTTACTTCATATGTCATACATTTGGCGAAAGACTCTGCCAAGCTCTTTTTTATGAGAGGAGTTGCTGCAGTTTTAGCTTTTGGTGCAGCAGGTGCGCCACGCATCTTTTACTCTCATAATAGAGCTTGGCGTGTTTCATCTTTAGGTGGTGGAAGAGGTTTCTGGTGTTTCCTCCTCCAGCAACGACAGCCACACGACACTCTTTGCATAGTTTTGTTTTTTGATCATTGTCGAATTTTCTAAATCTGAAGAATCTCCAGACAACCGATGTCACGACTCCCGCCCTTTTTCAGAACGAATTCCTCCTCCTATTCCTCGTGTCGGGTGGGTGGGGCTGCCTCCTTTTGCTCAGTACTGCCTCTAATCTCCGCATCTGCCATGACGACCACCAGTGAAGCCTTTTCTTCTTCGTTGAAACTACGCCGGTGATTATGGGGAGCGCACCCAAACCTGACCAATCAAACAGAGCGAACAAACCCCACACGACATGCTGGTGAAAATACGGAAACGCACCTGGATGTGCTCCGGCTTTCCTGTTAGGGAGCGCAGACAACCACACACTGACTCAGAGAGATGCAGCACCTGCTCTCTCTCTCTCTCTCTCTCTCTCTCTCTCTCTCTCTCTCTCTCTCTCACATGGTATACACCGTCATACCGCCCAACACCACCACCAGCCTTGATAATGAAATAAAAGGTGAGGTTCCTCTTGTTGGGACATGGTTCTCTAACCTTAATAGTTAAAACTGGAGTCCAGTTATCCGTCTACTACAGTGGACACCTGCATTAAAAGGCTGGAAACAGCTCGGTGTTCACACTGAGTCATCACGTAGGATTTTCACCTCGTTATGCAACCACCAAAATGTTGCACGTAAATTCTGACCTAAATTAAAGATGAGGTTCAAACCAGGAGACTGTTGAGGTTAAATAAAGCTGATGTCACTCTGCGCTGCACTCTGAGTGTCTGTGTGCGTTAGAGTCACAGTGGGAGAATGAATGGGGCGTGTGTATTTGTGTGTTAAAGTGAGACAAATATAGAAAGGATGCTTGCAAGAGGGAAAGAGCGTAGAGTAAGTAGAGCGAGAGAAACACGGTGAAGTAATAAATCGAGTGTTTCTAAAACAGGATGTGGATTCCCTAAACACTGAGTGTTCAGGAGAATAAACTCCTAAAGTTACATAAAAAAATATGAATCCATGTTTTTTAGTGTGTGAAGACTTTTCTCTGAGTTCAGTTCATCGTAAAAACAGAGGAACGAGCGACGGAGGCAGAGCAGCAGGTCACAGTGAGGACGGCTGGCGCTGTGGGAGCTGCTGTCACCTCAATGACTCATTCTTCTTCTACTCTTCCTCCTCTTCTTCTCCTGTCCTCCCCGGCTTTTCTCTTTCTCCTCTTCCTATCTGCCATGCCTCTTTTACCTTTCCGTCCCTCACTATCGCACAGACTGTCAAACCCTCGTTTTTCTTTCTTTGTCTACTTCTGTCCTTCGACACCTGAGAGCTCAGGGTGACCTTTTCCCGGCATGTTAGCATGATGTGTTCACGCCTGCAAAACAAAAGTTCATGCAGACGAGTATTTGTGTGCATGTGTATGAATGACAGGTTTCAATTCATTTCTGAGTTTAATTGCCTTCATGCAGTGTGTGTGTGTGTGTGTGTGCACAAACTGAGTGTGTATTTAAGAATGTCGATGAGTGACAAAGTCACCGCTGTGATTCCTCAGCTCCCCGAGGAGCGAGCGATGACAAACCATATTTGTTTCTCCGTGCCTCATTGTCACTGTGTCCACTGGGAAATACACACACACACACACACACACACACACACACACACACACACACACACACACACACACACACACACACACACACAGTGAGTGATCCTCCAAGCAAACCTGAAAATTTGAGGAGCCCACATGCAGAGAGCCTGAGAGACAGAAACAGGTCCTCAAACAGGTCCTCAGTGAGACGGTCCCACAGGAGAATTCATGACTTAAAAAAAAACCCAAAGTGGGAAAACTGTTCAGGGTTTGTTAAATCTAACAGTTAAAATTCTTCTTGTTCATTCACAGCGTTAGTGCTGCGATTTTTCTTTTTGTTTTCAGGAGACTTCATTTAAAGTTTTTATCTTGAAGAAGTTAAAAAAAAGGATCAAATTCCATCTAAAATCCTTAAAAAAGTACAGGTTTTAAAAAAGGAAGAAAGAAGGGAGGAAGGAAAATAGAGAGAAAAAAGAGGACAGTAGAGAGTGAGGACAGAAGGAAGGAAGAGAAGGAAAGATGGAAGGATGACTAGATGGTTAAAGAAAAGGAAAAAGAAAGAGAGAGAAAGGGAGAAAGAATTGGAGGAAAGAAAGAAGAAAGAAAGAGAAAGAAATAGGAAGAAAGAAAAAATTGGAGGAAACAAGTTGCGGAGAAAGGATGAAAGTAAGAAAGAACTGGAAGAAGGAAGGGACAAGGAAGAAAAGAAAGGAAAAAGTCAGGAACAAAAACCAGAAGGAAGGAAGGAAGAAGTATGAAGGAAAGGATAAAAGTATGAAAGTATTGGAAGAAGGAGAAAGAAAGAAAGAAAGAAAGGAAGAAAGAAAGAAGTTTGAAGGAAAGAAAGAAAGAGAGGTTTATTTGGAGTCTTCCCAGAATATGCAGCTCGTATCCTGACTTAATGTCTTGTGTTTATTTGCTGAACGAAAATAAAAAATCTAAAACATGAAGTTCAACCTTTTATTATCAGAAAAAGATAATTAACTTCTGATGCACAAAACGTTGAACCAAACTGTTTATAAGAAATGCAACAACTCAGTCCAGCCTCCATTTAACACCAAAACTAACTGTAACTATAACTCCAACCCCGTAATGTTACAGTCAACTGAAACAGACCCAAAACTGACGCAGACATCAAACATCACATCTTCATCACATCTTCATCACATCTTCGTGCACACGACACATGAGGACTCACTCCTCACAGTTTTAGCTTCCAGAAAACCTGACAGCACTCTGCATCCACACAGCCAGCACACACTTCCACACAAACGCTGACATACCCACACACACTGAAATGACCACACACACACACACACACACACACACACACACACACTCTCACAGGGGGGACTGTGTCTGCAGGGAGCTGACAGCAGCAGACTTTGGTTCAGAGGAGGCCAAACTCCTCATCAATAACTACCACACACAAACAGGGCTGCTGCCGCCACCAATCACCTTTTGTTTCTCCTAGTGTGTCATACTGTGAGTGTGTGTGTGTGCGGACTACAACCCCACACACACACACACACACACACACACACACACTGTCTGCAGGCTGTTTATAGTGGACACTGGGCAGATCTGCAGTATAGAGATAAATCTGTGACTACGCCAGCTTTCTGTGGTTCTGTGTTATTCAGGATGAGAGATTTAGATTGAAACAACATTCATCTTTTTAAGAAGAGTCACCTGAGGAAAACTATCGTCTAATTATATCTAAAAAAACAAAGAAAATTTTATCTGGTGGTGCAGAAGATGTCCAGGTTCAACTCCACCCTGTAGTCCTGTGCATGACCACATCCCTGCCCCATCATCTTAGTGAAGATGAAAAATTAAACACGTTTTTTCTCCAGGGTCTGTAAAACCATCGTTGCATCTGAAACACACTCAGTCTGGATAACTCCAACAACCAGGCGGCTGCTGAAACTCCTGCATCCCTGTGGTGTGCACCTGAGGCGCCATTTTTCACGTCTTCAGAAAAACAGAGGACTTCATTGTTTCTTGTGCGACCACAGCTGTCTAGTTATCGTCTCCTACGGTAGAAAAAGCTTCAGTACAGCCAAACAATGCCGACCTCTTGACCTTTGGATTGAGTATTGGGATTATTGTATTTCCCGTCCATACGGCAAAAAAAACATCCTGTCTGTCCTTCTGCTGAAAACCACACTTTAGCTTTGAAGGGATTAATGTTCCTCTGACTGTAATTGTTGTTATGATCCGGGGATTAAAGAGTTGTTGCGGAGGCGTTTTTAGAAATATTCAGGATAGTTTTTCTGCCGTTTTTTAGAAGTGGAGTTGTTTTCTCGCATCTCCTCAGGGTCATTTCATTTACATGTTCCCAGGTTTGAAGCTTTACAAGTGTAGGAGCACCAGAGCGGCTAAACTAAGCATGAAATGTGGAGGTACGCTGATTGAACAAGACCGCAAAGTTTCAAACTCCTTTCAGCATCACCGTCTGCCGTCCTCTCACGGCGCGACTCAGCCAATTTGTAATGAAAGACTTTTTAATTAACTTCCCTGTCGAAGGCGCTCTTATCTCCTCCTCTAACACAGAGGAGACGCCGTGTGTGACCTTGTTAAAAGAGACGGTGTTACAGCAAAGTTGGTGTAAATTACAGTTTATTTTCCTTTGCGCTTAAAGCCAAACACCGTGGATCATCTGAGCTAAACACGACACCGCCCTCTCTGAGCACTTAAACGTCTCCTAAACCGTTCTGAGTTATGGCCGACTCTGCCGTCTATGTGTGTGGATGTCTACCAGCACTTGAACCGGGTTATTTACTACATTTATTCCCTCGCTTTCCAAAAGCTCGAGCAGGCGTGAGCTAATGTCTGACATGAGTTAAGTCTGCCCCACATGCAGCAGGCGGAGCAGACAGCTGGTTGATTCCAGTGCTAACAGCCTGTTTTTAGGGGCTGTTTGGGTTACTGACAGGCTGATGGAAAACCCTCACAGTCATCGGCTCAAACTGCGGCTATTTATAGAGCTCAGACTGCAGGGAACAGGCCGGCGGACTGACCCACTATCTCTTTGATTAGCCGGCTGGCTGAAGTTCTGGATCATCGGTGAATTTGAGGGATTACCACCTCATCAGGGAGAGACAATACTCATCATCTGCCAATATGACAGGCGATATTTAGATGTTAAAACTATATCACCATGCTCTCGGGAAAGTAGGTTTTTAAACGATGGAGAATATGGAAAAAACCTGTATGATGATTTCTGCAGGGGTTCAATAATGTGCAGATTGTATGCAGATGTGTAGCTCTCTCTAATATCTTTTTATCCCATTCAGCCAGTTAATTCAGTTTAGCACAACAAAACATTGAAAGGTTGTGAGGCGTGGACAACTTAATACCCACAATCCACAGCTTGTGACTGATTCGGCAAAACTCAAACCGTTGTAGGTACCAGATGTGTTCTTCGGGCTGCCAGATCGAACATTGTGATGGTCCAGACATTATGGAAGCAGTTTTCGCTGAATTATGTTTAATGGGATTGTCGTTCTTGGACGAGTTTTACAAAACAATCTATCGCTACTTATCAGAGAGGACTTACGACAGCTGGTCTACCACCTCTTTTCAGTCGCCAAAGGAAATATGGAATACAAACAAAACTATCTATTGATAAACGGGGATCCTGTGTTGTAATTCTTTGTATTATATGGAGAGAAAATTTCAAGGTCAATTAATTAAACAAATGGAAATAAAGAAAACCTCAAAGGCTTTTAACCGAGCACATTTGACTTATTAGATTAAGCGCAGTGTAGTTTGTCCGAGTGGACTTGCCGTAGGGTGACGTCTTCAAAAGGCGCTGGGCCCTGAACAGATTTGGCAGCCAGAATACACTTGGTACCTACACCGGCTCTCCCCAAGATTTATTCACTGAATATTTTTCTTTAAATGCACCGTAACACCAAATATGGAGGAAAGTGCTAAAGAGTGACGCCTCTCGTCTAGCCTTGCTATGTACCCAAAATCCTTTGTGCATAAAATACCGTAACACATCAGAACTTCTCTCTGCATGTCAGAGTTGCACTCAGCTGACATAAAAGTATTAAAAACATGTTTTACTTGGAACCTTTTGTTGCACACTTCATCAGTTTTTTAGTACATTTGGATTAGAAATACAGCAGGATTACGGACCTAATAGTTGAAGATATTTCCCCCACCTTTTATCAACACTTACTCTTGTTAAGTGTCATAATTAATGCCTGAATCTGCCTAAAAAGAGAATCAACTTTTTCTGTCTTTGTTTTCACACTAAAGAGAAGGCGTAGAGAGGACTATTTAGTCATTGTCAAGCGTCTAAAATAACCTGATCAACACCGTCTTATCAATAAATATCCATACAGTCGTGCATCCCTTTTTAAATCATTCAATCAAACCTTAAAATCTGATGATTCCTCGTCAGTTTTGCAGTTTCAGCCCTCTTGTAAATCCGTTAATTCATCACCTAGCTAGCAGAGTGAAATTGCAGTCATCGTGTATTGACAGTTCTGGTTAGGAAGCATGAGTTGGCGAAAAGAAATGCTGACTGTACGGCATCGCTGAATGTCTGTACGCGTCTTGAAGATGAGCCTGACTCAGGTGTTGGTTACTCATTGCTTTCATTAAGTTGCACTGATAAAATATAACACTCATTCACACAGCAGCCGGTGCTTTTTTTATTTAGGTTCACTCAATCCAACACTCAACCAGTCTGCTGAGTCTGTGCATGAAGGTGGATTTCAAATGATCTACAGGAGATGAAGGAAGACAGTTTTGGCATGAAGAGCTTGTGTGTCACGTAAAAAAAGTAGAATTAAGACTGTAAATGAAAAAACTGGAGGTTTTCTGACGTTAGGACCAACAGTCTGCAGAAAAGTGTCAGAGAAGATTGTGAACTGCATTTGAGGGTCCTTCATATTGTAATTTTCATCCTTTTTATTCATGCAATTCCTCAGAGGAACAGCACAACCCTCGTCTGAGACACCTGCACCTGCTCAGATAAATCTCCTCTATTCACAGAGAAGAGGATCAGTCTGTTGGTGACGGCAATCACAATGGACTCCATCCTTCAGTCTCATTTATATTCCTGAGTTTCATCAGTCTGAAGAGAGAATCTACCGTAATCTCGTCGTCTCTTTGTGGGTTTATCTCATTTCAAGTTTGTCTGTGTTCGAGTGAAGTTTGGAGGATTTCTTAACTTTTTCATTTTCATCCCTCGGCAGTACGTTGTGTCTTCACACAGGCCATTAAACCAGGAGATGGATGCTTCCTCTCCTGATTCTGTTGTTTTGTGGTTTTCCTGAAACAAACGGTTCATGCCATCACTTTTTTAAAAAGTCTATCTTTGCTGTTATCAGGATTCAGACATGAAAAATAAACCTGTGCAGTATGATCTGTGGAGTTTAAGCTGTTCCTGCATTAAGATTTACATTGGGTTCAGCAATGTGCAGTTTTAATGCAAACACGAAGCCCTTTCTAATAACATGTTTATACCACCTGGTTAAATATTCTTACAGTCGAGCACAGCCGAGGTAGACTCACTTTCTGTGACCCACAGCCCACACGCCAAAAGGCTGAGACTTGAACCAGCCCCCTCTGCTGGTCACTCAACATCCTAACTTGAGGAGTCGTTGTGTTCAGCAATGTGCAACTTTTATGTGGACGTGTAGCTCTTTCTCTTCATCAGTTGTCTTCACATTAGTCTGAAATATCTTAAAATTACTTTCTTAAACTTGGTCTCATGAGGCTAGGGTGGCAGATCATTGATTTTCCTGTTTTCTGAACATGTTCGAAGCACTCGCCTCTGGTTTACGTCAATACGAGCATGAGAAAGATGCTTGTCCGTTTTGTCTTCCCCAGACCCCCTTAAGCGGCCTCATATTCCCACTTCTTTGTTAAAATCCCCGTCCCCTAAGGAAAGAAAGCCTTCAGGTCTTTTTTGTTCCTCACGAAAAGTTGATTAAACTTTTCCATTTGTTGTTTCCTTGAAAATACATCAAAATGCATATGAACCAATTAAGTAAAGCGAACATAACAGCCTTTTTGTTTTGTTTTCATAACTACAAGGACATATTCAGAGCTGTTTTTCTATAATGAAAGCATAAATCTCTTAAATAAACATTTTTTGTTTTAACTAAAACATGCATCTGTTATTCGATGTTGCCTCTCTGTGGTATAATTAATCTCCTTCTAATAAATAAGTCAATCTTGGATACTCTCTCCATTTTTCAAAACATTCCTGCAAGAACAGCGATGCCAGAGCAATTCATTATTCTTGGATTAAATTAAATCAAACCTTTAATGTATTCAAATAAAACTGTCAAGAAAGTTAAAGCAGATATATAGACTGGACTTCTATATAAGTTACTTTGTTTGGATTCATTCCTCTGAGTCCTTTTGCGTTCAAATGATTGAATCATTTCTTCTTTCTCTCCATCATTCAGGAAAATCAAGACCAACTACTTCATCGTGTCTTTAGCGTTTGCCGACCTGCTGGTGTCGGTGCTGGTGATGCCGTTTGGTGCCATCGAGCTGGTCCACCAGCACTGGATCTATGGGGAGACCTTCTGCCTGGTCCGGACCTCACTAGACGTCCTGTTGACCACTGCGTCCATACTGCACCTGTGCTGCATCGCCCTGGACAGGTCAGACCTCTTTCTCTTGTTGTGTTCGTTTATATATTTACATTTACCTCTTTGCAGTTCCTTATTTTGTGCAAAAAAACTCGTTCAGTTTAAAAGTTAAAATGAATCCAGCGCAGAAATAAGCAGCTGTGAGTCCGGTTTAAGACTCTGCAGAAGCAGATTGCCGTATGCTGTCTTCCTTTTAAGCGAATTCCTCCATTATGACAGCTCTGATATCAACTCAGAGGAGAAGACTTCCATGCTGATGGCACAGATTGTGTGAGAAAGCAGACTGGATAAATTCTTTTTATTGCCTCTGCAGCCCGTCTGATGGAATTCATTTCAACACAGAGAGCAAAAAAAAAAAACCCACTTTGGCATTTACAGCACCTGACAAAACTCAGCACAGCAGTAGATGTAAACAGGGCAGACAAATCAAGAGAGAGAGAGAGAAAGATAGAGAGATACAGAGACAGACAGAGAGAGAGGGAGAGAGAGAGATACAGAGAGAGCATGGACCAAAAAGTTCCTTTATGGGTCAGAATAAATCATGCGTATTGAGTTTTCTACCTTCTTATCACCTTATTTTCCCATTTTGCTCGTGTGCAGTCTGCAAAATGGACCAACCCACTAAATCAACCTCAAGATCTGTTTACTGGTCCCTGTTCAAAAGAAGCAGGTCTCTTGTTTCATAGCATCTTGCTAATGAATTAGCCCACTCTTAAAGGGATATTCCGGCATGAAATTAACTTAGGGTCAAACACACGGTAACACACAGTTAGACACCCCCTCCAGAGATGAATGTTGCCGACCGCTTGCTTCTCTAGTTTTACCAACTTTAGTAACGACCGCACGATAGCAATACACAGCGGTCTGTGGAGCCATAAACAAACCTCAACCAAAACACCACTCTATAGCCACAAATAATGCTCAGAACAGCACCTAACTTCATCATCAGTACATATAGGGTCCCAGCCATAGTACTAGACACCAAACATCTTTTTAACTTTGACTCATTTCTTTATCAAAGAGACTAAACACAACTCATCTACTCTCTTCCAGCAGCTGCTTGTTTGTAGCGAGACCTCGGGCCAGTCCAATACGGACTGCTGCGGGGTGACGCAGCTCAAGGAAGAACATTTATGATCATTTGTCTGCTCTGATTCCATCCAAGGTGATTGTAGACATTTTTTCAGACTGGGCTGTAACAGACATGATTAGCTTCTCTTCATCTACTGTGTGAATCTGAGGAATCATTGATGAATTGCAGATAAGATCGTTTGTGTTTTGGAGAGTGGAAAGGGCAGAATATCGATGCCATAGCTCCACAGTCACCAGCACAATGTCATTATCCATTGGCTTCACTTTCATACATTAAAGGGGGATAGAGATGCTCTAAATGCACTTTAAGGTGACCCTGTATTTAGTAAGGATTGTATCCCACCTGGATCACCCAGTAAAGACGTTTCTCTCATTGTTTCTGCTCACCTCATGCTGTGTGTCCAGCCTGAAAGTGAGGAAATCAAACCAGAGAGAGTCAGGCGTATCATGCAGAGAGCTGGATTTAACTTCATTCCAGCTCCACAATGCACCAATCGAAGAGGGTGTGGGCCCTCGCACCTTATCTCTGTTTTTACTCTCCTAAAGCTGATTTATGTTCGCTGCCTTTTGTCGCAGCTGTCTGGAATATTTTAAGCCCTGAGAAAGTAAAAATGTGAAGCACATGTTGATTAAAAAAATGCATGTGGATCTCCAGCCCGAATGTAATCTTTGGATCTAGTGTTGATCTGAATATTGTGCGATGAGTTTCTTTCTTCCTTCCTTTTATCCCTAATAGCATCGCTTGGTAAATCCTCAGAAAAGCACACTTGACTTCTACCATCTCTCAATGAGGCTTTCATGGTTATGATCCAGTTTCACTGCAGAGTAAAGGTCTCATGGAAAAGATCATTAAAGCGAACATGCGTGTGACATACGTGTGTTTTAATGAAGACCACTTTCCAAATGAGACTTCAGAATAAGGATGCAGAGCTCAGCAGCGGTGAGCGAGGAAATGGTTTCTTCATTTAATTAACCCACCGGAGGAGCTTCTTTACATACAGCTGCCTCTCTGTGTGCTGCAGCTCCTGTTTCAGCCTCCATCAGCCCAAATATACTTCTGTACCCAGTGAAGAAAAACACAAATCCAGTCGTCTTCACCTGCTGATTCTGAGATCCCTCTTTAGAGCAATATTGCCAATGTGCTAACACTTTAAAGCGCCACAGCAAACAGCAACACATCATGGCGTTGTATTGGAGAATGAAAGAGAGTGAAGCCACGACACACAATTTGCGGTTAATCTTTTGTATTCGTCCTCTTTAACAGTATAACAGCGTTTCAACAGTGCTCATCTTTCGCATTGATCGTAACAATCAACTTGAATATTAACTTGTGTTTGATTGCGGGATTTTGCTTTAGGACCCCAAAACTACCCGTATCAATGCCCAAACAAAAATGCATTAAATCCCAAGGACCCCAGGCCGCCTAAAAGCAAGTGCTTGAACAAAGCCTACTTCAACACAAAGACAGAAAAAACAGGAAATTTATAAAACCTTGGGTTTGCAAATGTCTGAATATTGTCAAAATTAATACTTGTTTGAAAATTCATGCAACAAGCCCTGAAGATGTGAGATAAAATGATGACTTGGGTGCGAAAGAACACTCACAAACTTATGCAAGTTAGGAAACTAACAAACCTTATGTAACGTGGAACCATGTGACCAGCTTTTGACCCCGGGCTGCAGAGTTGGATGACTGAGGAGTGGGAACAAACTGCTGCCATCATCTCAAGTAGCATCGCTTAAATAGCCTGTAAACTGTCAGACTGTAATTATAGGTTCTCAGGCTATTTGAGATGAAGTTTGTGTTTATTTTAAAAGCACCACACAGAGTGGCAGACAGAGAGATTTTAAGTGTGTCCTCATGGAAAACTGCAGGATGAGACCAAGAATTAATGAAACTGTCACTCAATTCAGCTGCAGCAAAACGCAGCCGAGACTCTGGAGTCCCGAGTGGCACAAAGCCCAGATTAAGTCTGGGTGTATTTGTGTTCCTCTGGAGTTTTTATTTTAATTTTCAACAAACACACAGAATCGCTCTCATTCTGCACAACTACGTAAACAAAGGCACCAGAGATTAAAACAAGCGTTGGCAGATTTTGTACTGGATTTGCAGCTAATCCTCGTTCATTACCGAAAACTTGGAGCCAAACTTTTTCGGCGTTCAGGAGTTCATCTGTCAGGGTGAGATAAGTGCAATCACAGCGACTCACAAACTCAAGAGTTATTGGATTTGGACCAAAGAGAGAGAAGAGGGTTTTTTCATTTCAGGCAAAAACTTTTCTGAGTCTGCTGTTTTTCTTTATTTATCCGAGATAGTTGTTGTTTTTATTTTAACAGCTACAGAATATTTGAGAGGACCCTCAAATTATCATAGATTGAACCGTTTTACCACCACGGATAAGTCCATGGTGCTGAGGGTCTTAAACAAGCGACCTTTAACCCTGGAGCAGTTGCTGCATATCTAACCTTCAGTCCAAGATAAGTTCCTCTTATTCGCAGTGAAACCCAGAATAGAAAAGACACACAGCTCCAGCTCCAGCACAGCGGGCAGCTTTAGGCACACAGTGATAATTAAAAGTGACCAGAGGGAGAAAATCATCATTCCTGTCAGCTGAAAGCTCCTCTCTTTAACAATACATGAAAACACGGTTTAAGTGCAGAGAAACATGACAGGGGGCATCCTTGAAGTCGCTCTAATGAGTATTTCAGGGACGACTTTGCAAACCAAGCAAGAGACGGCTGAGAGGCGGCTGCATGATTTTTGTTCACCGCAGGAATTAATTGGAGGGAAATTAATCTGTAGGTGTATGAAAGGAGAACTTTGTTGCATGGATTTCTGCAAAGTTGTACAGTGTGAGTGGTTTTGAAGTTCTTCCCCAAACCCATCAGAGCAGAACCTCCGAACCCGTCCCTGTTTAGACCTCGAGGTAGATCATGGTGTCAGGACTCGGTTTTGCCAATTGTGGTCAAAGAGGCCTGTGAGGCAGTTCTGCTCCAGAGACCAGAGTCGGAGCAAAACACTCTAATTAGAGCGGCTGGATCTCTCTGGAGGAACCTCAGGGGTTAAGTGCCATGGGGGAGGACACCTTGGTGGTGCAGGGAGGGGAACAGGTCTTAATTTCCCCAGACAGTTCAGGAATCGTGGCCTTCAAGGATAATCTGAGATACTTCCAATGTCATGTCTTACCTCTTTAAACACGGCGTTAGTGAAGGCTCTTGGAGCAGGAAAGTAAGATGCTCTTTCACTGCAAACTTACCTGTTTGTGCAGAAGTGTTGAACCTCTGACGGAGCTTTGATGAGATATGAGTGAGAACTTAATAAGAAGGACTGCAGAGTCACAGACACTCCCATCCCCCCAAAAAATAAGCAGCAAACAGAAACACTGAAATGGAAACACAGAAGTCAGCAGAAGCCGAGCCAAATTGTACCAGCCTCCCGCTGTTCGATCCCGAACAGCCACAACAAAGGACGAGAGCTCTGTCTTTAAATGGAAACACGGGGAAAAGAGAGGAAAGAGATTGCTGGAGTGTTGGCGAAAAGATGTTTAAAAGACAAAAAAAGCTGATCTGAATAAAAAGCAAGAAAGAGATCAACTGTAATGACACAGAAGTGCAGATAAAAAAGTTCAGACGTGAGCAAGAAACGAATCCAAGGGCCCAGATAATGAAAACACTTCAAGATTTGTACGCTGCTGTCGTTCTCAGGCCTCGTAACTCTGTAAATGTAAACTCGAAAAGGAGCATCAGCACTGAATCTGCTGTTTTATGATCAATTCTTTGCATTGTATAGAGGACATTTTAAAGTTTGTTCAGTATTCACTCATAGAAGTCTTTGAAAACTCTCCAAAGACCAGAAACCACTCCTTTTAGTCTGTTTCCATCTGCTGTCATGAAACCTTAAAGACGGTGTCCCTCAAGCTCATATCGAGCTCTGTCCTCTACAAGGACTCCTTAAGAAACTTTTATTTCTGTCCCTTAAAGCGTGGTGAATGTCTGTGTCAGCTGAGAGCCTGTTTTCTCGCAGCCTCCGGAGTAGAGGAGCTGAGGAGGCATCTTAAAGCGTGACAGGACAGTAAAGGAGACCCTTTCTTCCCCTCAACCTTGGAGATGTCTTTAAGTTTTAATGACTGACTTCAACAGAAAGGAAGGTCAGTAGTAAGGAACAAAAAGCTTTTTCCCCTCCTTTATATTTACTGAATCAAAGCGGAGAACCCCCGCTCACTCCACTGAAGCAGATCCTGCTGATCAGCTCCCTGCAGGGATGATGGAAATGAACGTCTCTCTGGGGCGACTGCTAACCTTTTTAGCCGACGTGGTTAGATGGTGGAGATAGAAGATGTAGATTCTGAGCGTGGTGAATCCTGCTACAACCCTTTTGGTTCAGTCGGGATTGTAGTTCAAAGCTTCGGCCTCCAGAAAGCTTTGAGCTTTTTAAGGGTTCACAGAGAAAGGAAACGGCTTCTCTGCAGAGAGCTGACCTCTGCTGCTGCTGCGGAGCTGAAACTGTAATTTACCTCAAACATTCAGAGTCAGAGAGAGCAGGCCACCCGGTATTTGCAAGAATAAACCCAACCAGGTTAGGTCGTTTTGAGCTTCCAGCATAAACCAAAAACAGTTTTGATGAGATTAGAGTATGATAAGGTAAAAACCTTTTTCTGAGTATTTTCTATGAGAAGAAGCTTCTGCTGACCGACTTCCTGGAGGTAAAAGAGAGTAAACACATGAAGAAACAATGAAAAACCTCAGGATACAGGAAAAAGGAAAGAAACAAACTATTCCTCAAACTCAATTTTATTTTTATGGCACTTTTCAGACAAAAAAATGTAGTTCAAAGTGCCTCACAGAGGCTGAAATCAACAATTAAACAATAAAACCTGACACCCCCACCCACACACAAAGACACACACCTACCCTTACTCACCTACACATACACGCACACACAAGCGCACACAGAGTAAGAATTTAGGATATGTTGTTAAAGAGACATGCCCTGACACCGAGACACTGTGCGAGGAACGAGCGACCTCTGGGAAACACTGGAGGTAAAGGATAAAAAATAAAAATGGTAAAAACAAAGAGTTACACCTGATGGACTAAAACAATAAAATAAAAAGAACAAATGATTAAGAGTTTTCTACCATATAAAAGAGGAAAAGAAGTACAAACTTAAGAAAACCTTAACCTTGAGTTCAGAAAAATCTGATTAATAAGATTACAGAAAAGAAACATGAAGAACTTCCACTAAAATGAACATTTGCAGTAAGAGAAATATGAAAAGGCGATCAGAGAAAAGCCTCGCATGTTTCTGGTATTTTATTGTATTTTTCACTGCTGTCAAACCGCGGCACTGAAGTCAGATATTCAGTGACACGAAGCGAGAGCTCTGTCGAAGTGAAGACAGAGAGTTACAGAAAAACAACATGAAGCGAACAGCACCGAGGAGAACGGGCCGACACAGAGGCTGTCATATTTGTGCTGTTGGTGGCGGCCATCTTTTTATCTTTTCATCATTCTTCTTCTTCCAGGTGTTCAATTAGTGATCCAAAACATGTGTTATTATTTCCCAGATCAGATATTTTATCAGTCACTGTTACTACTCATCACTTCACCACAACCTCTAAGTTACTCACGTTTACTCTCTTACTTTGCAGATCCTCCTTTTTATGCTGTTTTTGATTTCACCAGTTTCACATATATATTACCACTGACGTAACCCACTTTGGTTGTTTTTCTAAGTTGTGAGTGAAAGAAGGCATGAAGCAAATCATGAACCATAATCTTTACTTTCTGTAAATATGAAGATCTTGCACAAAGATGAACATGTCATATGATTCCATACGAACCCTGGACCCTTTTGACAGCAACAGAACAGCTTCGATCCACGACAGAGTGACGGTGCACAAATCTGAAATCAAAGCTGTTATTTGTAATTTAAGAATCATATATTTCATTATTTAAGAAGCTTTTGCCTGCTGTAACGTAATGCTTTACCTTTTTTGATCCCGACAGACCTTAGAGCGGATCAGGGGTCAAATAAGAGCATGAAAAGACTGAAACATCACATCTGTAGCCTTTAGTTAACTTCGGCTTGAGGAACTTGGCTGACAGACAACGAGAGCTTAGGAACGCGACAGAGGAAGAGAAAGAAAGGAGGGGAAATAGAGAATCTGAAGAAAGAAGTGAACAGCTGCAGGAGAAAGACTCCTCTTCTTCTTCTGTTTGCTCAGACGCTCAAAAACGCCGAAGTGAAATGAATGAGGACTAAAAAAAAAAACAGCATTTCCACAACAAGGATGCTCCAATACGACTGCATTCAGTCAAGAGGCAATAAGACGGAGACAGAGAGGCACTTACAGATCATGACTAAGAGGAAACTGGAAACTATAGAGGGAAATGTACAAAATAAATATATACGTTTCATTAAACGAACATTTTCACACAACCCTTTAAATAGTTCTGTAAAGATGTCCAAAGTTTGACCCGAACCACTGAAACACACACCTGTTTTATCGTCATTCCTGCGTACCTGTACTTAAAATTAAATCACTTCTGCAAATTTGCAACTTCTGCTCTCAAACTTTCTCAAGTTAAAGGCTGAAGCAGGAAGAGCACACCAGCTAAGGCAGGCAGGGAGAGCAGCAGCAAAGACCTGGAGGGTGCAGAACAGAGCAGGTGTCAGCGATGGAGGGTGGAGGCGGCACGCAGAGAGGTTTGTGGATGAAGCAGGAAGAGGAGGCAGGCTTTCTGATTGGTCACATAGACGGTTACTGGCTGAGCTGTCGGCCTAATCTGGACTGGTGTTAGGAAGAAAAGATGAGAAGAAACAGATGGATGACAGAAAATACTGGAGACAGTGAACAACTCAGTGGTTTATCATTGACATGTGTCACTGAGGATCTCTCTGATACGCTTTTCTTCAGGCTGCAGATGATTATTAATACCCAACTCTAAAACTAAAGGAGCTGCTGAACCTGATGTGATTGTACCGACCTGCTGCTGAATCAAACAGTCCTGATCAGCTGATTAGACTTTAAAAAGTACCACCATCAAGATCCAAACTTCCCAGACTTTTGAAATAACAGCTGCTACAGTCATTAACTCTCATAACAACATAATTAGATAGAACAGGATTTAACTATAGACTGTATATACTAGGGGTGGGAGACAAAAATCAATTTACGTAAGTATGGAGATTTTTTTTATTTTTTTATTTTTTTAAATTGTTTTAAAATTATTTTAAAACATTAAAAAATATATATTCTTAAAAATATATCAAAAGTTTAATTAGAATTCAATAAAACTTACTACAGTCTATGGATTTACCTTTATTAAATGTGCAATATGTTAAACCACATGTGAAGGATTAGTTTCTACACATATTTACTGAAGACTCTTTGCGAAAATAAAGTCCATGCTTGTGAACGGTCGGGATTAAAGCCGGTCACTCCCTCTGGTTTTGAGGTGAAGACAAAAACAAACGTCCCCCAGCAACGTGTAAACGTTTCAAGCTTGCAGGGTGCCGGATTTCCCAGAAACCGTCAGTATGTAAATAAAGTCTGAATCAAAACGTCAGAAATAAACAGAGAGAGACGCTCTGGAGATCAAAAGGAAACAGGGACCATTTAAAGTGCTCGTGGTCTGGACGCGCTGCCAGTCAACCCTGCGCCGTCTGCTTCTAATCTGTTTCAGGTGAATGTGTGAGAGAATGTGTGTGTGTGTGTGCTTTTGTGCATACACTATAGGGTCTTTGTGTACTTCTAAGTCTGCATGCTGTGCTTCTGTGCATGTGTGTGTTTGTGTGTATGGAGGTTGTATTCAGTCAAAGTGTTTTTTTACTTTTATAAGAGACACCACAGGAGGTTTTGTCCTCCTCGCTCTTAAAGAAACCATTTGCAACCTTTCAACAGGACTATTCAAATGAAAAGGGTCTGTTGACCTTTTTTTAATGCCACAACACATGCAGTCCGCACACACAGTATACACAACAACTCCAAATTACTGATGCCTGGGAAAAGGCCACGCACCACAAACAGGTAATGAGGTGGGACCGAAGCCAGGGAGGCAGCAAAATACCAGCAGTGACAGCCGATGAGGCCGAGTGGATTAGCTTTAATACTGCAGCTGCAGAGCTCAGTGTTCAGTCAACCCTCTGAGGATCAGCAGAGGTTATGAAAATGTGTCAATTCAGCCGAGGAGAGGAAGAATAACGAGAAAGAGCTGCAAAAACTGATGCTACTGTACTGACTATCGCAGCGACTCTTGGTTTCGTCCTCCAACAGCAGGTCTGAAGTCTAGTGTGGACAAGTTTGGTGAAATGCTGCAAAGAATTAAACAAGTGCATCAAAGATAAAATCAAGTATTTTTACAGTGCTTTGTTAATTTTATCGCTGCTGCAGATCGAACAAATCCTTCAGTCTTTTTAAGCATTAATATCACCAACAATCATGATCCCCACAGCCTCTCTCTTAGTCCGTCTCTTGGCTTTTCAGACTTGCCTCCTCCTGCTCCTCTCCCTGCTCTCCTCCTGTGGTTGCTTTATAGTTTGTACAACAGTTTGTCTTGAAGATACAACAGCCTGCTTTTTATCACTCTAACCCCAAATTTCCACCGTATGCAGAACAGCAGCGAAAAGGCCGTCGGCACCATTCAGCGCTAATGATTTTCATCTAAATTAAGGCGTCAAATTCCACCAGTTTCTTTCCGGCCCCCTGCGGTTCAGCAGGATTCACGATCACCAGGGTTCTATTTTTTTCCCGGCCGCCGCAGATTGCCACATAAATTCAGCACAGATTAGCCTGTACTAGAAACGAAGTCAGGCACAAACACAAAATAAAACATCTGTCTTCTTTTCAAAATAAAACACTATGTGTATCAGGCGGATCAAGTTTAATTTCATTTGGTTGATTTCTAATCTCCACAAAAGTGTCTGATCTACTGGTCTGGACAAAGTGGATTTCACTCTACTGCTTATTTGGTTATGTGTCTGTCTTTATGGAGACAACTGGTTATTGTGTGATTTTATACAAATTCGCAGGTTCTTGTGAGTCCTTGTGATTCCCGCTATCCGAAATTCGCCACGGAATTCGCCTCATAAACCCATCCGGTAGGAATTGGTGCCGTTATGTTGTCATGTCATTCAGTCTAGACGAAGGTGACCAGATGTCCCCAATTTCTGGGGACAGTCCCTGTTTTGGATGAATCGTCTAAAGCTGTCCCCAGAAATGTCCCCGATCTAAGCATTTCATGAATAACAACAAAAATGTTGCGCGTAGACTAGAACAACGGTTATTATGATAGTCAAGTAGGTAGGTATGTTGCACGTAGTCCTGAATAACAGTTTTCACGGGGGGTTATCATGGGGGCGTGCACCGCTACTCGATAGTAGTGAGACATAGTCTGTGATCGTGCAGCCCATGCCCTCCCCCCCTCGGGTTGTCCCCATATTTCATTACAAAAATCTGGTCACCTTAGTCTTGACTGTCATGAATGTGGGAAGCCGATATAGTTTTCAAAATTCCACCAACACTAAAAATCAACATGTTTAAAGCCTCCTACGGAGAATAACTCAGATCTTCATTCACATGTCTTTAGTTTTTACCCACGCTGCCTCTTATCATGACTTATCCAGAGAAAACGGTGAATCACGTGATCAGTTTGCAGTCAGCCAGTGTGTTTCCCCGAACTTCAACCTGCAGAGAAGTCGAATTAACTCCTCTGTGGTCATTTTTTTATACGTTTCTTTAAAGAATGAGTAAAAAAAAAAAAGGTAATCTACATTTATGAGCAAGAATCCCATCGTGGTCTTATTTGCATGGCAGTCACGCGTTGGTTCTTGCTCACTTATTACACCGAGGTAATATGAAGTGCTTTTCTTTACTCATGGAAACACTGAAGGAGAAAACATCTACATGCAAATTAACCTGCAAGGAACCTTTTAAAGGAAATTAGAGAATTAATCAGTCAGTGATGTTTACTTTCATCTCACTGGCAGGAAAGAAGTATGAGAGTAACAAACACTCATACAGTCAACGCACACACAGAGGGACACACTAATTACTCACACACCTTTGCAGCTCTATGTCCAATCATACACAAACAGGAAGTCATAAACGCACTCAAGCGTGACATGAATGTTCGCAGTGGGGCGCGTATACACTTAATTTACACTGACGCACATTCGCACAACACACACACACACACACTCACACAAACATACATAGACCCTTTAGGTTAGAGGGTAATGGAGGTCTGAGTGGCTCGGTCGGTCGACTTCATCTGTTTTCTATCACACTGGAGCAGACCTGAGTGCACACACACACACACACACACACACACACACACACACACACACACACACACACACACACACACACACAGAAAGCGTGTGTGTGTGCTGGTGGCAGAGAATCATTGACCCAGGTGAAATTGCAGATTTTTTACAGTAAGCGACGTGTCTGTCATTTGAGCTTTTCTAAAAATGGATTCATCTTTTCTCCTCCGCTTTTCTGTCATTCGTTCTGTTTATCATCCCTCCTTTCCTTCCCTTCTTTCCTGCCCTTTCTCTCTCCTTTCCTCTTCCTTTAATACCTCCTCCTTTCTCCCCTTGCTTTGTCATTTCCGTCCTCCCCTCTCCTCTCTTCCTCTCCTCTCTTCCTCTCCTCTCTTCCTCCGCTCTCTCTGCGCCCATTCATGCATTTTCTCTATCGTCGCTGCGATTCCATTCATGCCGTTCAGGCCCCGCCGTTGTCGTCGTCGTAGCGATATCACAGCCTGACAGCATGCTGTGAGTTCCCGCTGTAGCGTGTGATGCCATGCTCATGTGCACACACTCAGTTTGTGGTGTCAGAGTGAATGTGTGGATGCCGGGGAAGTGAGTCAGTCATGAATGAAGTGAGAGGGATGCAGATACAGAAGCTCCTCTTGGTTCGTACTCGGGGTGGCATTGAGTCTTTATATCAGGGGTGAAAAATTAAAGACAAAACAATGAAGCTGTCTAATTTAATTGTTAATCAGTTTTATCATTGAGCAAGATTTTTGATGCTGTGAGCAGAAATAATGTTGTTTTCCACCAAGGGAGTACTGCAGATTTAGGACCTCGTTTCTGGAGCAGCAATTTAAAGACTCTTGTTGTTTTTAAGTGTCAAACCTAACACACGCCCACATCAGCTGGCAACTCAGCTGATTAACTTCTGTACATCCAACTGTGTAATGTCAAAAAGGGATTCCTCCTGAAAGTGATTTATGAACCACCTCCTTCCCAGCTCCTCCTCCTCCTTCTGCTGTGTCTGATTTTACCTGTGGCACATATATTCTCGCTGATTTGTGTTCTGTACTCCGTTGGTCTTTGCTGCTGCTCTCCCTACCTTGGCTTTTCATGACTGCACATGGACCAGATTAAAGTGTGCTCTCCCTGCCTCTTAACTTCTGATTCCCGGTCTTGAAACTTCACAAAGGAAGTTGAAGCAGCAGCAGGACTTCCTGACCTTGTCACTGCTGCATGTTTTCCCCCTGATTGACAGTGGTGATGTTTTGCAAATGCATCAAATCAAAGCCTTCACTCACTGTGTATGGTTCATCGTTTATAGTTTATAAGGTGATTCTGAACTTGCTCCTCTCTTATTTATATAATGTAATTAACATGAAAAATGTCAGACGCTGTAGTCTCCTTCACTCTCTGACCCAGACTCTGTCACCAGAGTGAGTCTTAAAATGGGTAAAGAGAGTTTGAGGTCCTCTACTCGTGCAGATCTGAATTTGCTGCAGGAGAATTTTAACCTGGGGGAGCTGGTGTCTTCAAATGTTTTTAAAGTAGATCGAAGGTGCTGGAGAAGGATGCATCAGGCTGTGACGCAGGATGTGTTAACACCTTTTTAGGTGTTGTATGTGTGTAAATTTGTTGGAACATTCGGCTGCTAGTTTGACCAGGACAGACAATATTGTGGTCCAGACCGAACTATAACCCAGACACTCATGATGTGTCCTTAAATCTGTAAATAAACCAGTGATACCTCTAGTCTCCAAGTAAAGAGATGGATAGAAACCAAAAATCGACCTTTAACTTTGGGGTAGAGGATAATTTTGTCTCCTAACTGGTAAATCTGACTGTAGTGAAGGTTCAACTGATAAAGATAGGAATGGCAAACCCGTGTGTTTAACCTCAGACTTAAATAATAGATTTAAATTTGGGGTTTGGAGGGTTTATTTGAGGATATTCAGTTGAGTATCTCATCAGCTTTCCTGTTTTAGCCGCCATCTTTTCCAAAGAAGGACAAAACCTCTCCTTGTAAATCGAACGCCGTGAGCATGAGCTGACTGCAGATGCTTTAAATGACAGAGGTTATTTGTAGCCGGCTTCTCCATCAGTGTTTTTACCGTCTAATAACTGTCATGATGGAGAAGTAATGAGAGGCTGCAGCTGAACATCCTGTGTTCTGCTACAACCGAGGCCAACTGACGATTTAGTGACTAAGAGAGGAGGATGTGACAGATGGATCCAACAGTGTCACACCCGTTTTTTTGTCCTTTTTATCATCCCTTTCTTTGTTTTTCAGATATGAGGCGAGTTTAAGAGATGGTGAGCTTTTAAAACCTTGAGTTTGAGAGGACGAAGTGAAGAAATTTGACATTTGATGTGTTAGAAGTAATAAAAAGATGTGAGTGATCAGCATAAAAAGGGGCAGATCGAGAGAATGAAATGGGAATGTTTTGGAAAATGTTGTTGTGTTTAATTGTTGCATATTTTTGCAAATGCGCTGGCAGTGAACACCCTCATGTCTCGCCAAAGAGCTCATTCAAAATGGAGAGGAGAGGCAAGAACAGAGGGGCTGAAAGCAGCAGAAATAAACACGCAGTCCAAATGGGTCCCATTGTGCAATCACAGCCCATTTACAGCCCCAGTTATTGGCTGAACGCAGAGTGTCGTGATGTTGGAATTACAATATGTAAAAACGTCTCAAGTGCAGAAATGTGAAACAGTAAAAAGGGATGAAACGATGAGAGCTGTGAGTTTGATTACGGCTCGTATTGATCATGATACCTGATTGGTTTCTCTCTGCAGGTACTACGCCATCTGCTGCCAGCCTCTGGTCTACAGAAACAAAATGACGCCGATGAGAGTGGCTCTGATGATCGGCGGCTGCTGGGTTATTCCCACCTTCATCTCTTTTCTTCCCATCATGCAGGGCTGGAACAGCATCGGCATCGACCACCTGGTGAGTCTGCAGTTTGAGTGAACTTTGACCTCACATTAGAGGTTGATGCACATCTGACATTTAATAGAAACTGTTGTAAGCAACTTAAACCACAAACACAACAAGCCAAGAGACCAAGAGAGTAGGACTGGACGATTATGGCAAAAATAATAATCACCATTATTTTGACTGATATTGAAATCAAGATTAATAAACACGATTTAATATAAATTTAACTCAAAATAACATCCAGAAATTAAATTATTAAAACAAATAAAAAATAATCACAATAGTAAATTTGGATGATGAGAGCAATAAAAATAAATATAAATAAAAATACCCAATCTACATGCACTCCTGCAAAACTTGCAACATGCAAAAAAAAAACACTAACAGCCAAAAAAACAAAATACTCTTTGAAGATTTTCTTAAAAACCTCTTTTTAAAAACAAAAATGATTGGCCGCAATATTAGGGTGACCATGGTTTGAATCCCCAAAAAGAGAACACTACCATGCGGGGCGGAGTCACAGAGTGGCACGTAGTTAATTTTGAGGGGTTTTCGGGTCAGGTCGAGTGTTTTTTACGCGCTTCTTACTCAGTTAGCCCACGCGACACAAACCCAAAACCTCCATATTAAACCCCGGACATTTGAAGGATTTGATAAACTCCCACGGACAAAGTCAGACAGACCCCCAAAAAAGAGGATATGTCCGGGTAAAAGAGGACGTATGGTCACCCTAGACAAAGTGATATACTTCCTCAGCTGTGTGATCATATACTGATACATATGAGTCTGAGTTAGAGCCTCGTAAATTAAAAAGAGAAAAACTCATTGTTAAGATGTGGTCACTTTTATTTAACAGTGACAGTGCGCCACGGTCAGTTGCATGTAGGTGAAACCCTGAAGTTGGTCGTGTTGACTTGGCGAGCAGACATGACAGCGTGACGAACTTTGCAAACAATTTCCTTTTGCTCGACGTCCGTCAGATTAAAGCCAAAATGTTTCCAGATAACTAAAGTTTGTTCTTCTCAACCAAAGGCTGCTTTACTGCCATGTTTTCAATCCCTCAATCCTCATATTATTGATCCACAAACACAACAGGGATGCATTCAAGGTGTTTTTCCAGCACAGGAATTTATATACATGCCGCACCGTGCAGCGCATTAATCATTTTCTTCAATTATAATGTTTTTATGATCATTAGAAGCCAAAATCAAAATCATGATTAAAATTCGATTAATCGTCCATCTCTACAAGAGAGCTAATTTTAGGGCACAAATAAAGATGTTGTAAATATTTGATAATAGCAGAAAGAGAGAGAGAGACTCTGGAGCTTCTATCGTCTCTGTCTGAATGCCAGCAAACTTGGAGGACTAACGGTCTCATTTTTGGCAAACACTCACACGCCACCCTTTTTTTTTGTCTCCCTGTATCTCCACCACATGAACAAGAGTTTACAGAACAACAGCATCAAGTTTTCACCGATGTGGCAGCGTCTCTCTTCGGGTCCAATTAGAGCTGTTGCATAGTCAGAGCAGCGAGGCAGTTTTCCAGAAACCGAAGCTCCAAAAACTGAACAAAACAACCTGAACTCAGACACCACAGAGACACACAAACAAGCAACAGTCTGGTTTTAATGGTTCCTTCTGATTTGGTGTTTCTGTGGAACAAGCTGCGCTGATTGTTCACAGATCCGAGTCTTTAGTTTCACAGTTAATCACATTTTTGCAAAGTTATCAAATAAACTTTCTCAATCGATGTAGAAACTTGTTCATTTAAAAAGTGCAGCGTATTGATTTCGGAGGAAAAACTAATTTTCAACTTGATTAGAATAAAAAACGATCATCATGTTCAAAATAAGTCTCCAGTTACAGGTCGAATACATTGATTTTTCAAAGTATTTTCCAGGGTTGCATAAATTTTGAGTTAAAAAAAGATCATTAAGTAACACCATTAGCAGCTGGGTGAAATGGCCTCATTTCTAATGCACGTTTAACGAGCGTACGATGACGAAAATAAGGTATAAAGATGGAAAAGCTCATCACATGCAGCATGCACAAGCCGAGGAGCTTCAAAGACATTTAAAACAGCATCTATACCATATCAGAGCAGCTTTTAGTGCCCTTTGGCAAGACTCAGTGTTGAATAATTCCATATAGAAATGTCACAGTAAAGAAACAGGAGAGTATAATCACTGAGAAAAATCAGCCCCTGCATGCAGAACAGATGAAAATCTAACTTTCAGACTTATTTTGCACCTTTTTATTTTTATCTTTGTTTGTATTCGTGCAGCAGGACAGGTGACCCGACGAGTCACATAAAAACAACACAAACTCATTCATAAAAACCACTCCAGCTGCCACACGAGCGAGTGCGTGCTACAGGACTGATCTCTGTTATTCATGTGCCGCCCTGAGCCGTAGATTTCCTCAGAGATGAGACGATAGGGCCGGGACTTCTCTGTGATTAATGACGAGGTGCAGAGCCTCCTGCGTTCCTCTTCCCTTCGCCACGGAGACTCAGACCGAGCCAAGCGTGGGAGTTTTCGTGGGTTGTTGTGAAGTCCGGAGGCGTTTCAGTGGCTGAGCATGTGGTTACTCTGGGATTCATTTTTTCTACAAACTGTATTTTCAAAAATCCCACCTTTTGTGCCAGCGTGTGCGTGTGAGTCGAGCTAATCTCTTCACAGTTGTTGTATTTTAATTTACATTTATCAAAGCATGAAATAACACATTTGATTCATCCACTTCTGTCAGCAACCAGATAAGAAAAGCTGGTACCTTGGTGCGGTATCAGACCTGTGTAAAGAAACCTGCATGACTGACCCGGTCCTACAAGTTCAACAAGAGCTCAAAGAATCTCATTCACAAAATTTAACCATGAGCAGAAACAAGTCACGATATGAGGTTTGCACCACAAAGGAGTAGAAATATCTCAGGATTTTTCCTGAAGGATTAAAAACACTGATGCAAAGACTCACCAGGCAACCCTGATTCAAAGGGAAACACTGACGGCCTCATAATGTCTGTTTTTCTGTCCAGAACGAACAGCAACAGTAAAAATAATTAAAGAAAAATGAAAAAAAAAATCACTTCACTCCATTTTTTAAAGAAAAATAAACAAGATACAATCAAACTAAGACCAGGTCGACTAAATCCAGATTACTTGAGTTCTAAATGGGAATGTGTAATACAAACTTTGTCCAAAGGGGGCGCCAAAGTCCACACAGACTAATTGAGATTATCCTGAGATGCTGTAAAAGTCCTAGTTTCAATGATTTGAGGGTTGAATATTAAAAATGTTTTAAGTTTTATGCATTTTTGCAAAACTGTCGTTCTGTTTGCTGTGACTCCTTCGTTCAGATCGAGCAGCGGCGCCACAGCGAGGGCAGCAACTCCACCTCCTGCGTCTTCATGGTCAACAAGCCATACGCCCTCACCTGCTCTGTGGTGGCCTTCTACATCCCCCTCGTCCTCATGGTGCTGGCCTACCAGAGGATCTATGTCACCGCCCGCGCTCACGCCCTGCAGATCAGCATGCTGCAGCGAGCGGGCGGAGCAGGTTCTACCTCGGACTCTGCCGACCACCAACGCAACCACCGCATGAAGACAGAGACTAAAGCGGCAAAGACTCTGTGCATCATCATGGGCTGTTTCTGCCTCTGCTGGGCGCCGTTCTTCGTCACAAACGTGGTGGACCCCTTTATAGACTACACAGTGCCGGACCAGCTGTGGGCCGCCTGCCTCTGGCTGGGCTACATCAACTCCATGCTGAACCCCATCCTCTACGCCTTCCTCAACAAGTCCTTCCGCCGTGCCTTCCTCATCATCCTGTGCTGTGGGAGGAAGAGGTACCGCAGGCAGTCCATCCTGGGGTCTGGTGCTGCCTGCACAGCCACGCAGATCAACGGATCCACACATGTACTCAAGTAAGTCCCTCAACTTCCTTTGGTTCTCCTTCTAACGGGCATTGGGAGCCGTTTATCTCCTACTCACCTGCTCACCACAATTACAGCAGATGTCTCCAGAAAAATGTTACAAGGTCAAATAAGTAGTTATCCTGATAAGGAAGGATTTGTTTTCGGGTTCATCTCTGAATACCCTGCAGACCTCGCGCCTCGTTACTGTTTCTGATCACAGAACACATGTTTGGCAGAGATAAGAGTATGACGTTAACATGTTCTCCCCAGTAACATATTTTATCTCCATTTTCCCCTGCGCTCTGTCTCTGTATCTGCTGGGATGATCTTATCTGTACGAAAAATGATGAATGTCGAGCAGCAGCTGATTGTTTAATGAGTCCTGGTGTATGCCGGGAAGGTTGAACAATCGCAAGTTTATCTGACATCATGTGTTTGTGACGTTTGTGACGAATGGTGCACCACTTCACCCTGACCCCACTATGCATCTGAACCACAGAGCCGCCACATGGCTGTATGTCTCTTTCCTCTAAACTGTAGAGAAATATACATCGACCTGCTGCATCCTGGTTGGTGGACATGCTCAGATAATAACCCGTTAGGTTTGCAAATCCAAGAAAACGGATCAAGAAGTTGTGTCAGGTTTACTGAAGTTGAGTTGTGGTTGTAGATTGAACCAGGAATGAAGTTGCGTGCACCAACAGTTGTAGGTCTTTGGAAGATTTGCGCAAAAGGTCCTCTTACCTGATGGCGTTCGATGAGGGGTAGTACCTTTCCTGATGCAAATAGATCTGCTGCGTTAGTCCGACTGAAACTTGACTTTTTATCCGAACCTGTTAGTCTGACTTAAACCCCACTATATTCAATTCCTCTTGGCTGGACTAACAAACCTGGATAAAGCAGTTGAGGATGCAAGCACCTCAGTCGTGCTCAAACTGTCCCAACCATGCCATGAAAGCTCCAGAGTTTGCACATTGGGCTTCCATAAAGAGACAAACCTGATGGACTGTAAGTCCTGAGCTGTAAAGTTGTAGTGACTTACGACCAAGTGGCAACTCCCTGTGACTTGAGAAATTAAGCAAAAGTGCTAAAAACTGCAGTTCCTTAAGTGTCCACTTAAGGCCACCTGCAGAAGCATCTAAAACCACAAACACACCAAGCCAAGAAAAACTATTTTAGAGCAAAAATAAAGATGTTTACAGCCCAGTTTAAAAACGGTTAAAATAGCTCAGAGCTCACAGATCATCCACGACTCAGGGAGTTAAACTCTCTGTTGCATGTTTCTTTAAAAAATAAGGTTACGAGACCAGCGAATCAGAGGCATGGCTGATTTAGGGACCACACTGTAGATATTTGGAAGGAAGCTGAAGGCCCGCCACAGGTAGGTCCAGCAAAGTTAGTTTGAGTCACGGAGTTGCACGAAGTAAATTTTGAGAGTTTTTCGGGTTGGGTCAAGTGTTTTTTACGCGTTTCTGACTCAGTTAGTCCACGCAACACAAACTCAAAACTTCCATACAAAACCCCGGACATTTGAAGGATTTTATAAACTTCCCCGGACAGCCCCCCCAAAAAAGAGGACATGTCCAGGTAAAAGAAGACGTATGGTCACCCTAGTCAATAATGGCCACTTTTTGGCTTCCACTGCAAAAACAATAGAAGTAGACATTTTTGGGTTATGAAAATCTGCTTCGTCTGGTTGTTTGAGATCCTCTTGGACCTGCATCTGATAAAATTCCTCTTCTTGCGTCTGTGTTTTTAGAAATAACACAAAAAAAGAATAATAAAGCTGTTAAATGGTGCAGGCTGTAGATCTCTAGCTGTGAGAACAGCACCGGTACCTCAACACATTTTTTTGGCAGGATACAGATATTTTAAAAACATTTTAATCACCAGGGTTTCTCCTTCCTGTTAGTCGAAGTCTGAGTGTAAACATTTTTTGGAAAGTTATTCAACAAACTGAATCATGAAACAAAATTTCTGGGTCCTTCAAGAGTTGATTCAGTCATTTCAGGATCCGCAAACACCTCGAGTAAGAGTGTAAGACGACTTTTTCAACAGCAACAGCTTCTACTTTACTTTGTACAGAACTCACATTCATTACAGCTGTCTTTTCAACCTGAGTAACCTTTTCACGCTCTGGTGGCACTTTTTTTTCTTTTTTTTTTTTAAAGGTCCTTTTCCATCCAGTGCACCTGATAAAGGTCAGAGTCGACTTAACACCTCTCTTCTCTAGTTTCTAATAAGTTTCTCCAAAAAGGTACAAACCTTCAAGACAGGAAACGCCTGCAAATAAACACAATATAACATCACAAGCAGGATGTAAAGGAATTGAGTTTTTAATCATTTCATTTATTTTTTTCTCTTTCATGAAGCCTTTAAGAGTCCAGAAATAACTGATAGAGCCATAAAGGTCAAACTTGTTGGGTTATTTGGCCTTTAAAGGTACTGCTCTTATATTTATCTGTTTTTTAGCTTCTCCCCAGAGAGGAAGGGGATCGATCGAGCAGGAATTTTCTCAGACAGAAAGGCAATACAAGGACACGTGGTGTGGAAGGCTTAGAGGAAGACTCAATAAGAAGTAGTGTGAAGTACAAGAAACATGTTTTTCAGACTGACATTAAAGATCATTAAAGCTGAAGTTAAAACTCATTGTTTTCCTCTCTAATTCACATCAGGACACAATTTCTTTCCCACGGAATATTCAAAATTTAGCGACTAATGTGAGCCTGCCAATGTAAAAGTCTTCTCTATGCTTGTTTTAGTATAATAAAGTCAATGCACCTGAATGAAATATTAATTATTTAATTATGAATATAGAAATAGAGACACCTGACAACCTGCTGGTATTGATCAACAGTTCAGTTTAAGTCCCACTCAAATCATTTTTTTGGCGGAGACAGCACTGCTTTGGACACATATTTAACTTTCTTACAAGCATTGCAATCCACTAACGCACACGCTTGTTCCGCGATCACCCTCTCTACTTTTTCGAGTGTGACCTGCATATTGGGGCTCCGGGGGCGGAGCTTGGATTTGTGATGTAGGAAATCTCTCTGTATCTGAACCTGCTGTATGGGTCTACCAGAGATTCACAGCGATTTGAATGAAGAAATACTCAGAAATACAATTTCGCGCTTACTTTTCTCATGATATGTCCTGTAGCATCAGAAAAATGAACATGTAGACAACAAGAAAAACATGATTTTCATCTGAGCGGGTCTTTAACGATAAAATCCCATCCCATCTTCAACCACATGAGTGAAACACTTTACAGCATTTATTAAGTTACAGTAGAGAAGAAGAACTTCCTTTAACAGGCAGAAACCTTGAGCAGAACCAAACTGGGGAGAGACTGGTATGTGTAGATGAAGCAAGTCAGGCAGATCCACAGCAGCAGGACGTCTGCAGCAGTGATCCAGATGAAGCTCCAGCATGATGGAGCTCAGAGACACCCAGAACAGACTGTGTTTTAGTGACTCTAATGGGACATGATGATTCAAAGTCAATGCCATGGACAAAAGTTTGTGTCTAGAGTTTGGCTGAATTTGGCTGAAGACACCATGTGTTAGTATGTAAATAAACCGCTGAGTGAAGCTTTAAGAAACTCAGGAAAACCATTTTGAGATGTGAAACATATTTGCTGATGTACTGTAGAAGTTACACTTCTAAAGCTCTCACTCAGGTACAGTCTTGGACAATCATGACCTCTCAAACAGTCTCCTTCTTGGTGCAGATTGGGTCAAATTATGATGGAACAGTTAATCAGCATTCATCCTGCAGAAATGCTGTATGAATAAAGCTCTTTTCAGGGTAGAATACCCCCCTGAATACTAATTGCAATCAATTCCGACCGCCGGCACCGTTCAGACCTATTTTTTCATGATCAGCTTAAGTGCATGTAATGATTTTCAGAGAGATTTCATGCATAATAAAAGTCATAAGAGGTCGGCTGTTTTACCCAGCGTCTGTCCATGTGCTGCAGGAGCTGGACTGTATTGACAGCTGCAGATCACACACCGGTCAGAGGTCTGTATCTGCAGCAGCTTTAGAGTCGAACCTCTGACTTACTTTTCCTTCTGTAACACACAGAAAAAGTCTTTAAACATCAACCGAAGAAGGCCTCACTTATAATGTTTCTAAACACGCTTTTCCTACCTCAACAATGACACTCCCATGAGGCTTCGCTCAAGTTTATTTGTCCGTAATCCATCTGACCGTTCTCTTCCATGTCTCTATGGTGAGTTTCCTCCCACTCTCTCGTTACACCCCCTGGTGTGCTATCAATAGGCGCTCCACAGTCACAGAGACACCTCTGGACCTCAGAGGTTTGTGGCTGTACGCTTGAAGACATCCATTAGTCTCCTTTGGTCTCTCTGGAATAACAGAGACTGATAATGTTGGCTGTTTAAAGGCTGTGAAAGATAATCTTCGCATTATCTCATAACCCTTTAGCTTCTCTGTCTTTACAGCCCGTCATAAACACAGATGATAGACCTGAACGTCTGCTAGAGCGGCGCACAGGTTCACTTTTGTCCATTTTTCTGCTTCCATATGAAAATATTTTCAAAGCCAAGCTGTAAAGAGATAAACAAAGAAGAGTGCACATAGGAGGACATGATGGCAGCCAATCAGAGTGATGCATTACTCCGTCTGAATGTGTCACATGATTAATGTCTCCTCTCTGCTCCTCTTCGGCCTCATGTCACAGCCAGAGTAGGAACATGTCTCTTCATTCACAGAGAGATCTTCAGTGACCGCTGGGAGCAGATATTAGTCAGTGGGCGACTGATGGGATTGTACATCAATACCAAAAGTCTCATTACCATCAGGACAGCTTATAATTTTCCATCCCAGACTCTGGGATCGCTGCTCATCTCTGCGTGAAGATACAATCAGCTCACGTAGGAGGAGATGTATTCAGCTTTCAGTGTGTTGTTGCGTCTGCTGCTGGTTGTAGATAAAGATTCATGAGGGTTGGAGAGAGAGTCTGAGGAGTAACGTGCAGGATTTTCATAAAATACCATGAAATACTCTTAGCAAACAACAATACAGAGGAGCTGAACATCTCCAGGAATCATTCAGTTTAGTCCCACTTCAAAACTTTTTTTTCTTTACTACTTAAAGGGATATTCCGGCAAAAATTAAGTTATGGCCAAACACACTGCAACATCGAGTTAGACACCCCCTCCAGAGATGAATGTTGCTGACCGCTTGCTTCTTTAGTTATACCAACTTTAGCAACGACCGCAGGATAGAAATACACAGCGGTCTGAGGAGCCATAAACAAACCTCAACCAAATCACCACTCTATAGCCACAAATAATGCTCAGGACAGCACCTAACTTCATCAACAGGACATATTGGGTCACAGACATAGTACTAGACACCAAACATCTTTTTAACCCTGCCTGATTTCTGTAGCAAAGAGACTAAACACAACTCACCTACTCTCTTCCAGCAGCCGCTTGTTTGTAGGGAGACCTCTGACGAGTCGATCACCATGTGCAGCGGGGTGATGTAGCTGAAGGAAGAACATTTTTGATAATTTCTTTATCATTTCCTTGAAGTAATAATCATCATATCATTGCTGGTGTAGTAGCAGAAGCAGGTAACACAGGAGCTATTCAGCTCTCGGACACTAATGTCTTTAGGGATATGATGAAAGTTAATATGATAATAAGCTTTCTCACAAACATTGCAATCTGCTAAAGCACACGCCTGTTCTGCAATCGTCCTCTCTACCTCTCCGAGTCCGGCCTGCATAGCAGGGCTCTGGGGGCGGAGCTTGGATTTGTGTTTGAGTCTACTAGAGATTCACAGCGATTGGAACTCAGAAATACTCAGAAACAAAATTCTGCACTTATTTTTCTCATGATATGTCCTGTAGCATCAGAAAAATGTCATATGAACATGTAGACAACAAGAAAAACAGGATTTTCATCAGAGTTGGTCTTTAATGAATTCACCTGTTCTGTTCTGCTCACAGTCAAATAAATCTTAATTTCTAGGTTGTTGTATTTTTTCCTCAGATAAAGTCGAGTCTCTGCAGAGGTTACATGTCAATCAAACAGAGTGGGTGGGACTAAGGTTTTTCATATTTACAGTATAAGGATTGCAGCTTCGTCCTCAAAAAGTCTTAAATTCTGGCTAATATGTTGTTAAGGTTTTGTGATTGTTGTGGTTTTAAAATCGTCCTTCAGGTAAGATAAGTGTTAAACCTCTCTCCTCTGAATAAATCAGCATTCATACTCTCAATTCCAGCTTGTTTGGGTGAGTGGTTAATTATGAATCCCAGACTGAACTCTGAGGAGGCTCATTAAGATCAGACAGACGCTGCAGCCTCAGATTAACATGGAGAAATTGGAGCGTTGGTTGCAGACACTGAGCCGGCAGATTAATATTTCTCTGGTGTGAAGGATGCATAAACTCTGACGCTGGATCTCAGAGAAACAAACATTTTTTCCCTCAGGAGGTCGTAATCTGTCTTTAACCCGTCTGACCTGTATTCATTCAAGAGGGGTCGGTGCAGGATAGACGGTGGTTTAGGTCACACATGCTCCACGGTTTTTATGTTTGTGTTTGCAGTTTTTATGAAATGGTCTTGTTTGTTTCAGAATCAAGTTTCTTCCATAAGTATTTCAGATTTCAAAAGTTTGTTGAAGGTAAATCAATAGAAAATGTTAGCCAGTTGACCTGCAGACTTCCTGAATTTATGAAGAAGAACTTTCTCGAGTTAGATCACTTGATCTTCTTCCAGCAGCTGAGATCCAAGCGAAGGTCGAATTCCCTGTGAAGTGCCTTAATGCAGCTTCACTGTGTCTGCAGACAGATCCACATTACAGATGAACTGAGAGCTTTTCTTTAACAGGTGTCAAGATGGACACAAAAATAAAGCTCCTCACAGTGACCTGTCGCTAATTTCATTTTAACACATATAAATGATGTTTTCTGCTGATTTATAATATTCTAACATCACTTGTTGGCCTCCTTTTATACATGCAAAAGAAATCTGGCAAATTTCCTGACTTTATTTGTGTTTGTTTTAGTGAAGGGGCACCAACAGCCAGTTTTTCTCTTAGACTTTATCCCGCTAACCACCTTGTAAATTTCCACAAGACTTATGAGTGAGCTGAAACCAAAAACCTTAAACCTCATCCAGAGTATAAATCATATTTATAGTCAAAAGTATCTAGTGTCTCTTGATATCTGTCACGTTCAGGAAATGAGTCCAGATAAACATCTTATTTCAAAAATAAGACGTGAATTTTAGCAAAGATTTCCACCAATACAAGAAGTAAAACTTGTAAAAATGCAACAAGACAATTCAAATGACGGGAAAACTTCAGATTTGTTCTCTGATTAAAATCAATCTTGGTCATATTTGCGTTTGAATATCTGATGCTGATATTGAAATTTAAACTTGTCTGATGAATGTTTGATAAATTAAATCTAATGAGGTATTTTTCACTAGAAATGAGAAACGCTTAAATTTGAGATCTTGAAGTTGCAGTTAAAAGTCTTAAGAGTTCATCATACAAGGTGTGTACGTGTTGTAAAGTGATTTTCAGTCACTATAGCAGAAGACCCTTCCTCCTCCTCCTCCTCCTTTTGAGGTGCATGCTGTTCACTATTGATCTGTGATGGTGATTACACGAGAGAAAATCTACAAAGTCCTGCAGATGTCAGGTCCTAGATGAGATGAAATTATCCAGAGAATGTGCTGAAGTTCACTGACCCGGCAGCACATTTACATAACTGTTAGTATTACTGATGTAGAGATCCATACGGAGACATCACTATTAATTTGATCATGTATCCTCACCAAAATACTCCTCACAGGAGCTTTAAATGTGAAAAAAGAGTCATAATATTTGAAGGAGACCAAAATCTCAGACTGACCTACTTTTAAAACTCGTCCTTCTGTGTGGAGTTTTTCACAAACACCAGATAAAAATACAGAAAGTGACGTCACTCAGCGGAGAGCAGCTCAGTTGGAGGTGCCTCTCTCTCAGGGACGGACGGTTGTGGAGGCACCAAAGGGGCGTTTTAATTATAACCACAGATCCGCTCCCTAACAGGCGACCCTGCACCCCGCTGGAGAGCTTTATGGGCCTGACCCTCCTTCATGCAACCTTTATTCTCCGCTCCATTACAGCGAGGACGCTCAGCGTGAATGTGGAAGTGGAGGTCTCAGGACTGATGAAAGAACCAAAGCTTTTAAAATGTCAGGAGTGCGTCAGCTCGGCCGCAGACTCGTCTCCTTTGACGGCGCGGGAAAAACCTCTGCAGTGAGATGGATGCACCGAGTTTTAAATTCAGGTTATTTCTGAGTTTCTTGTTGGAGTCAAACAGGTTTGATCTCTAACACAGGGGGGTCAGGGTGATCTCAGAGATGTGTGGGCAACCAGGTAGCTATCTAATGAATGCTGGTGCATTCTGGGAAATCACGCAGACTAGACGTTCAAACAGATTTAACACGTATTTGTTTGTTCCTGCTCGACCCTCTGCGACCTCTGCTTCATATCTGATCACCTATTGTAGAAGAGTTGAAAAGATCACGGCTCATTTGTGTTCGGGGTATTTTCTGTAAAATCCAGTGATAAGGCCTTTTGTTGTCTGAAAGCTGTGATTATAATCGAAACCGCAGCAAATATTAGAGCAAAATGGGATTCCTGGAATCTAGAAAAGGTGCACGTGCATTTTAAAAAAGATTTCTGTGTAAAAAGAGATAATAGAGCTTTCAGATAATAGCTGATTTAATTAAAAATACGGTATAATTATTAGAACAATCCACAAATCAGTCATGGACACATCTGCAAAGAGGGTAAGCTGCAGAAAAACGCTGCTGTAGAGAGCTGTATCAAAGCGTGTTCATGCAAAGTCGACTGAAGGACAGGAGTTACAGAGATGAGTGCAGCTTTGAGAAGATTGTCAAGAAAGTTCAAGAACTTTGGAGAGCTGGACTGAGGCTGGAGTCGGATTATCAAGAGCCATACAGGTGTCAGATTCCTGATGTAAAGACCCTCCTGAACCAGAAACTGTGTCATCAGAGTCTCACCGGGACTAAGAAGAAAAAGCACCGAACCATCGCTCAGTGGTCCAAAGTCCCACTGTGTGGTCTACTGTGTTCTATCAAGTCCAGCCTCATGTCAACCAGAGACCTTCATGACTCTATCGGCTGAGAAGATTTACAGAGATACAGATTTCCTTTACAGCGCCAAAACCAAACCACTACTAGCTCCTGACTAGGTTCTCCTGACCTGAACCCACCCAAAACCTGCGTGCCACAGCACACTCATGTTGCGGAAACCTCAGCTGAGTCTCTAAATAAACATCCCGCTCAGACGTTGGACTTTTTAAATCACTTTTAAACTGATCTTAGAAAGTTTTCTTATAATTTGTGATGCCAGATATCTTATTTTCATCAGCTATGATCCAAAACCATCAAAATGCAAACCAACAAATCTGACATTTCTATTTGTGTGCAATAAATATGAGAATATATGAATGACAGTGTACTCCAAATAAAAACACGTTTGTGATAGATATGATAGATGCATTTATGTGAAAATAGATAAGAGAAAAATAAATACACTAAATAGCATGACAGAAGTGGAGGTGTCATGAATAGTTATCGACTGCTGCGCTCTCACGCTTGTGTTCATTTACCGAGCTTTCTTTGCTTTAACCTCTCCAACACGTTACATAAGCGGAGGTCAGATTCACTTCTTTAAAAAACTCTTCATAAGCCTTGACCTAAACGCTCGGTCAGTCGGCCCTCTGCTCGATTGATGAGAGTCGACCTTATCGATATTCTGTCACTCTTGGAGGAATGTCAAAGCGTGGAAGGGGACACACGGACAAAATCGATTCAAATATTTAGTGATAACTTTGATATTTCCTCCAGTATGATTAAAACAAAAGATCCCTGAAAGTCTCCTCAGTATACGGTTTGATTGACGGCTGATTTCTCGGAGGTAGAATCTGAATTTTATTGTCGTAGATCTGCCAAACAAAGACGTAGAGCTGGCTGTACTCGGTGTGTCGTTAATCAGCCTGTTTCAGACGCTGAGTGTGAAGAGCAGCTGTTTATCCAATACACAGGTCGAGTTTGACGGATCAGCCCGTTAACACCAGCCAACAAAAGCACACACACAGTCCTGCAGTCCTCCAGGGTGTATTAACACACTCTACTACACACACTGACACACTGAGTGTAAGCCTGCAGAGTGTTTATGGTCTCACTGGAGTCGTATATCTGAAGGATGTCCATGAAGAGAGAACAAACTGTATTCAAGGTGTAATTTTCTTTTTTACTGCTGCTGGAGAGGAAAGGAGGAGAGGAGAGAAAGAAGAGAGAAAACAAACCAAAAGATGAGGAAAAAAGGAAAAATTTAAAAGTACAAGAAGACGGAGGAATGGAAAGAGAAAAAAGAGGAAATGGAGGGAAAGAGAAGGAGAGATAAATGAGAGGAAACAATAAAAGGAGATGAGGAGGAAGAAAAGATAAACTGAAAGGAAGTAAAGAAGAAAGAGGAATAAAGAAAGGAAGAAGAAGAAAAAACAAGGACTCAAGAAAGGATAAAAGAAAGAGAGGAAAGAATCAAGGAGGAAAGACAAGTGAGGAAGGAAGTATTTAAGGAAGGCAAGAAGTAAGGAGGGAGGAAGGAAAGGAATAATACAAGGAAGAGAGGAAAGGAGAAAGGGAGGAAGGGATGGTGCTCAAGAGGGAGGGTAGGATGCTTAGAGAAAGAAGGTAGGAAGGATGCTCAAGAGATGATAGGGAGGAAGGGAGGATGCTTAGAGAAGAAAGGAAGGAGGGAAGAAAGGAAGGTAAGATGCTCAAAAGAAGGAAGGGATTAAGGAGGGTAGCTTGCCTAAGAGAAGGAAGGAAGGAAGAAGAGATGGAAAAAAAGGAAGGAAGGAAGTATGCTCAAGAGAAGGAAGAAAGGGAGGGAAGGGATGGAGGATGCTTGAAAGAAGGAAGGGACAAAGGAGGTGAGGATGCCTAAAAGAAAGGTGGAAGGAAGAGAAGAAAAGGAAGGAAAGAAAGGAGGGAGGATGCTCAAGAGAAGGAAGAAAGTGAGGGAAGGAATGGAGGATGCTTGAAAGAAGGAAGAGAGAAGAGAAAGAAATAGAGATTGCAAGGAAGGACAGAATCAAAGAAAGGAAAGAGGACAAATAAAGAAGAGAGAAAAGAAGGAACCAAGGAAGGACAGAAAGAAGGAGTCAAGAGAGAAAAGGAGAAAAACAAAAGACAAAAAGGAAAGAGACCAAGTGAAGAAATTGTGTTTTTTTTTTAGTGTCTAATGCCAGAACTCCTCCACTTTTCTATTATTTCTGGATCTTTCTTCACTCCTTTAACTGACAGTCGACATGATTTATGTCAGCGAGCTTTAAAGCCTCGACTTAATGGGCTCTTTCCATCATGTGTGACGTTCTGCTGCTGCTGCTGCTCCGTATGAACGCTCTGACCGCCTGCAGAGAGCAGAGAAAACACCGAGGAGTCATGGAGATGGTTTTTGTTTGAGCCGCTCTGCAGCCAAAGACTCACCGATCAGTCGAGTCATTTCATCTGAAGTGGGCTGAACATTAAGAAAACTTTAAAACCGTGTTAAAGGAGGAGAGGAAATTTAACTTTTAATTTATGCTTGTGTGAGGAAATTCACATCAAACTGATACCGCACCTTAGTGAGAGAAGAAACACCTCTGGGTCAAACTTAAGAGACCGAAGGATAAACTGTAGAGCTTTAAGGAGGCAGCACTTCTTTTTCATTTCAGCAAAATATTCATGCAGATAAACCGACAAGGAAAAATGTTCTGCAACAGCCTGAACCATCTTCATCAGAAGACTGCAAGGCTGCAAAATGCAAATATGATGCAGCTCCAAAAGCACCAGACATGCACATGAGAAGTGTGCTGCAAAAAACCAAAACAATTCCAGCTCCTATGCTCTTATGTTTTTGTGTTTTTATATTTCCAGAAAAGCTTTAATGACGTTCCTCTGAAGTGACCAAAGATGTTTTAACACGAGGCAGAAATGGGTTTAAAACCAGCGGCTGATGATCTCCTAATAATCCAAGTTTGGGTTTCTCAGACGGTCGGAGGTGATAGAGTAAAAAAGTCATCACACTCAGCAGGACTGAGGTCTTACTGGCGGCACAAACAGCAGCCTCACTTCATTATTCTCTGAAGTCTCTCCCGCTGAGAATATTACCTTTGGCTGAAAATATACGTCTGCTGCTCAGACTCCCGCTGGTGTGTTTGTTCTGGAGGAGAGAGGGAACAGAGCATCAGATGTAAACACAAACATGCATGATCCAACAATACAGATATTAATGAGGCATGACTGTCGTCAGCTGATGAACAAAAATACATGTAAAGAGGGAAGATTGATAGCAGAGCTGTTTAACATAGTTTGTAAAATTCATGTTCATGTGTTGCATGGACCAAAGAGGAACACGAGGATGTAATAATATGAGGTATAGACGGGTTAATCTGCATATTTATGAGCTGTTTTTGCAGTCCATTACAGCAAACACATTCACTGTGTTGATATAGTTTGTGTTCATGCATCCAGCTGTAAGGAACCATTATGTCGCAGTGAGGCTGATGGAAATATTGTCTGTCCGGTTAATGAAACAGCTGCAGAGACAGAAGTGTTTTCCTTTGTAACAGCGTCTCCCGACTTTGGCGTCTATGAAATTTTGTTTTAACTTTATTTATTAATGTTTTCATGTGCAGAACATGTTATTAAACAATGAAGGTCATGATATACACCCTCCCTCTTCACACCCACCCTCACCCTTAGGAGGCGAAGGCGTCTCTGCAGTTTTAAACCTTAAAAGTTCAGTTTCACTTGGACTAATGAAATAAAGTAGGACTGCACGATTAATCAGATTATTTAATTATGACGGTTAAAAAAAACAAAATCGTCAAACTGATTTTCCTCTCTATCATGTCTCGCGCCTCCAGGCCGCCATAGGCTCCTCCTTGTTCCCCACACACACCAGTGTAAACAAACACAGTGTTTGCAGAAGAAGGCGATAATTTCGTGGTCAAATAGGACAAGTGCGAGTCAGTCGTGTTGAATTGGTACGACTTCACAGTTTCAGATGAAGAGTAAACCACTCCCCGCTACAAAGTCTGTCTGAAGACCCGTCCACACGGAAACGAATTCAGAAGTAAACGCCAAAGTTTTTTGTCGTGTTGGGGTTTCGTCCACGCGGAAACAGCATTTACGAGAGTGCATAACTCCGTAAACGACTCCCATTTCATCTCTGTGTGGATGTCTATCTGCATCTCAGGAAACGATCATGTGACACACAGAGTAATTCTTTTATGGCGCCAAAACAACCTTTGTACACATGCTCTGTACTCTTCTTCTGTCTTTTGTGAATTTCCTGTGCAGCGTTACAGCGCCACTTACTGGCTTGGCATATGCCCTAATATTGTTTTCAATGGTTTTGTTTTAAGAGATGATAGAAAAACTTTTTATCTTTAAAGGGAAGTTTGTTGAAGTTGTCACTAAATAAAAAGTCAAAATAAAAAATCAGGTTTTCAGAAAAAAAATCTTGATTTTATTTTTGGCTGTAATTGTACAGCCCTAAGCTTTAGATATAGAAAACATTACCATATTGTTAAGATGACTGCAGGAAAAGAGTGAAACCTAAAAAGGTTTGCATGAGAACCTCTCTTAAAATTGAATAACCTTAAAAAAGTGAATTAAAGTTGAGTTTATTTTATAGAAAAACATGGAGTTAAAACGAGAGAGTTAAAGGTCTTTAAGTTAGTTTCAGGTTTGTCGCCATTCTCAGGCTTTTCCCTGCATTATTACTCTGTAACGAGGATTTGACAAAGCCTCTCAAGGTGGCGCGGGGTCCCCTGGACTTGAGTTCAGACTTTGGGCGTCGGTATTGAACTGCTGCAGATTGAAAAAACGAGGAATAGTCGATTGTAATTCGAGCCTTTTCAAAAGTGATGCCGCAGGTCTGCCCTTCACAACAAAAACCTCTTATCTGCTGCTGCGTTTGAAAGTTTCACCGTCTCTCCGACTTCTCTCCTTCTTTTCCTTTTCTTCTTCTCTCCTCGTCTTTTTCTTCCCGTAACTTTTTTCCTGGCTTGAGCTCTTTATCGCAGCCTTGGGAGTGTGTGTGTGTGTGTGTGTGTGTGTGTGTGTGTGTGTGTGTGTGTGTGTGTGTGGCATCTCTTTGTTGACTTGAAGCAGTACCACACACGCTGTCCCCTCTTGCTCATATTTCAGTCTGTTTGTCAGTTTGTGTATATTTGCGTATGTGCGCTGCATGTGTGCTCGTACGAGACGAAGATAACAGGTGTTTGTCTGAGAGGAAGAGGAGGGACTGAATGTGATTAGACTGTATATCTGCTGCCTCATTCCTCTGCCTTATATTTATTTTCGCATCAGTTTCTATGTCTGCATATATCCAAGCGTTGTGTGTGTGGTTGTGTGTGTGTCTGGACTGCATTGTACTGCGGATATAAACAAAATCAAACAGTGAAAATCCTAACAGGAAGCTCCGCAGCTCTCAGGCTGTCGGGTTATGATGCTGTCAGCTGCATCAAACCACAATCTCACTCCCTGCACACATGCTCTCTCTGTCTGGAGCTGCTTTAAGGCCCTCTTGTCATAGCAGATTATGACAAACAGATCAGCCAAATCGTAAATATCTTTACGATCGCATACAAAGATGGAGGATATTGAGATGGATAGACACGCCAACAGCAGTTAGAGACGGCATAACCAAAGAGATCCAGCTCCAGAACTTTGTCAGAAGGGTTTGCAAAATGCTCCGTTTCCCAGGCCTGACTTTAATTTGTTATTCCTCTACAATTACTGCAAATATTTTTGGTTTAATTTCATTATGCACTGGTTTTGAATTCCTGTCTTTCCATTGTTTTTGTCCGGTTAAACTTACTGTTGACCCGGACTGAACCAGTGAGCAGAAGAGGAGAAACTGTCAGGGTTTAACCGGGTCATAAGGCAGATTTTGAGGTGTAGATATAATCTGCAGGAATCGGTAGAAACTGATGAATTGTGGTGCAGCTTCTTGGAACAACAGATTTTTGGGAACCAGAGTTTTCCAGATTTTGTTTCACACAGGTCTCAAATTTAAAGGCCCCCAAAATTTAACATATTTCTGCTCCATTATAGTTTCATTTTTAATATTGGGAACAGCCCAGTCACTAAAAGACCAGCATGCTCTTTTGTTTTGTTCCTCGAACATTTCCCTGTGAGACTCTGAAGCGGCGCTCAGTGAAAATTGCTCGACTTTAATTGCGCTGCTTTCACAGCCACCTGTGTAATGAAGATATGCCAGGAAGGTGAAACCCACAGAAGGCTCGGCAGATAACTCAGCAAGCCTGTTCATATAAATATAGGTTTGTGTTGTTACCATGGCAGCAGGAGCCACTGGGTGCAAAGGAAGTGAGCGGCGTGAACCACAGAACTGGACTTGCTGTGAGAACCAGATCCCTGGAGGAACCTTTGCAGACCTTTGCAGGAAGTCAAATTATATTGTCCCCTCAATTTTTTACCCTTTTTTGGTAAAACACTTCTCCGTTTGATTGGGATGATTACCGTATTGGCTGGAGTATAGGAGCACCTCAATATAGAGACCCTACTTTTTAGTAGTTTTTAAGCTTCATTTGTCTGATTTAAATGAAATTAAATATGGTGCAACAGTTGATTTGATGCACATGAAGCACTCATAGTTTCGGTTTTGAAATACCGTAAATATTAGAATAACCTGCAGTGGTGTTGGGCGGTATGACGGGATATACTGTGTGATGGTATAAAAGTGCCAGTAGAAATTTTGCTTTACCGTTTATACCGGAGAGAGAGAGAGTCGGTTGTCTTGAGATTCTTCAGATTTAGAAAATCTGATAATGATCAAAAAACAAAACTACCCAAAGAGTGTCGTGTGGCTGCCGTTGCTGGAGGAGGAAACACCAACAACCTCTTCACCACCTAAAGATGAAACACGCCAAGCTCTATAATGAGAGCCAAAAGATGCGTGACGCACCTGCTGCACCAAAAACTGAAGCTGCAGCAGCTCCTCTCAGACTAAAGAGCTTTCAGAGTCTTTCGCTGAAGGTACGCCATACGATAAAAAGTCGCTCGACTGCACCAGTATTTTTAAGCCATTAATTGAATTTACAGAGGAAAAAACATACCATGGTATACACCGTTACCATGATATGGAATTACTCATACCATGATATAAGAGTTTGTTCATACTGCCCAACATTAACCTGCAGTCTGTCAGGTGAGGGGGATACCTTCAACCTGGTCTTGACAATCTTTCTAGGCTTGTCATCTTTAGTATCACACTCTGCTTTGATGCCACATTTTTCATGATTGTTTAATGTCTCTGCTGCGGTGATAACACAAAGTTTTCTCTTAAAAAGAAGCATCAAAACTCGACCTTTGTCTTACTTTTATGAAATTTTATTTAGTGTCTGACTCCATCTTCATCCCCCGTCTTATTTTGGGGTTTATGTTTTCTTTGGTCCCAGAAGATGGATGCAGATCCTCCTCTCCATTTCATGTATATACAGTAAAAACCAAGACAGGGAGAGCAGCAGCAAAGACCCCCCGCAGAGCATTGCAGGTATCAGTGACACCGAATATAACCCTGATAAAAATATACCGAACACATGAGGAGTACTGACCAGGCTTCTTCTTTATCCTGTTTATTTCAGCGCCTGCTTTCACAGCTTGTTTCCACCTCCTCTCTGACAGCTTCTCCGGACTCGTGGTCACTATGCGGTCTCTAATTTGTCCGCCTCTCTCCCACTTTTCTGTGTCCACCAGCAGGTCTCCGGTCTTGTTATGTCCACACGGCTGTTAGGCTTTCAAATCAAACGCCGCCAGATCTGGTTCGAGCTCATTAAATGTCCGATTTACCCCGAAAGTTCAGAGCCTCTGAGTGAGATTTTTAATGAGGATGAAATAAGAGTTCATGTGTGTGACTACATGTGAAATTAAAAGTCTGATCCTTCTGTGTTTGTGTGTGGGGGCTGAATATGCACGGGTAGGTGTCTGCAGTTTCTCTCCTGTTTGCCTCGTGCTTCGTGTTTTGATAGATGCGTTCGTTTGTCGCTCTAACTTTTCTTTACAGATTTCATATGAGGATGTAAACGCGGTGTCTTTGGACCTGGATTTTAGTTTAGGAAGTCCTCCAGTCAGTGTAGAAACTCTATTTAACTTAAGCTACAAATCTGCTTTTTAGGACCCAGGACACCGAACCCTTCACCCTCAGGTTTTTTAAAATCAGGTTGCTGCTCGATTTTATATTAAACAATGACTATCAAATCTTGTTCTCTTTTGTGCAACATTGAAGAGAAATACTGTATTTACCAAAAATATAAGATTCAAGCAGTCATGGTCACAGAAAATCCAAATCCAACAGTGCGGTTCTCTCAGTTCTGTCAGTCCTGTCCTCAAACTGCCCCGGGCTGGTCTCACACTGTCCCGGAACTGAACCCTTCCTCCCCCTCAGGCCTGATACCGTGTCCTCCCTGTGACCAGAAGCTATAAATTATTTTGTCCTTTAAAAATATGTCCCCAAAAACCCAGTTTCATAAAGCCTTTTTTTCTAAAGACGTCAGATTGTTTCATATTTCGCTGCAAAATCAAATAATCTCATGATTAGAAAAATCCCTTTTTGTTGGAAAAGCTTTTATTTGACCCTAATTTCACCTATAAAGAAGCCTTTATTACACCTGTAAGAAAGCTTTATTAAGCCTTTATTACACCAGTGAGAAAGCTTTATTAAGTCTTTATTACACCTGTAAGAAAGCTTTATTAAGTCTTTATTACACCCATTAAGAAGCCTTCACTGAGTATTAATTAAAACTGTACGGCTGCCTTTATAAAGTCTTACTACACAAGTTACAAATCCAGCACCTATCTCACCTGTTACTAAGCCTTAATTAAGCGTTAATTACAGGAGTTATTAAGCCTTTATTAACTATTAGTTATAACATGCACATATGGGAAAAGCAGTAGGTTTATGAGGACGACTCTGAGCCGTCAGCTCTAAGGTTTGTGTGTGAAAACATTAAAAGTCATCGCTCTCTGTGTGTTTTCATGTCCTGCATTGTTTCCTCATGTTAAACAACATGTCATTAAAATGTGGTTCATGTTGATGCTCTCAGTTGGTTTCTTAATTAAAATGCGCATATACTCGCACGCACACACACGCACACACACACACACACACACACACACACACACACACACACACACACACACACACACACACACACACACAGTGAAGTGTTTGTCTGGCCTGCTGTCTGATGGGTCTTCTGGGTGTGAACTAACCTGTTTTTCCCTTTCTCTCTCTCTCTCTCTCTCTCTCTCTCTCTCTCTCTCTCCCTCTCTCCCTTACTTCCTCTCTCCTTACTGACTTCTTTCTTTTCTCATATTTGATCTTCGACTTTAATTTCCATTTTTTTTAATTATTTGTCTTTCAAACTTTATTTTTTACTTCATCTACTACATCTACTTTTCTTTTCTTAAATGCTGATGGTTTGGTTGACATTTCCTTTACGCCTCCATGAACGTCCCGTCCCCTTCCCTCCATCTTTCCCCTTCTTTTGTTTTTTTTTTGCCTTTTATTTCTTTTATTCTTCTTCATCATCTTCATTTTGTCCCATTATTTTTTTCTTAACGCATTTCTTTTGCTTTTCATCACCTGCTTTGTATCCTTTCATCATTTCTTTAACATCATTTTTTCATCCTTTCTTTCTCTTCATTTACATCTCTCTTTCTCATTTCCTCTCCCATTATTCCTTTCCTTTCCTGATCTTATCTTTTTTCTTTTAAACCATCACTTCCACGTTTGTCCATTTTTGTCCGTCCTTCCTCCTCCTCCCTCTCCCCCTTTCCCCTCCTCCTCTTCCTCCTCTTCCTCCTCCTCCTCCTTCGGACTCTCCAGTGGCTGCTCCTCTGCCTCCAAACTGCTCCTCTGGTTCTGCAACACCAGGCCAGTGCCTGTCTAGCTGCTGTTTGTGTAGAGTCTCTCAAGGCTCTAACAAGTGAGTCCGCTGTCGTTCATGTTTGCATCCACACACAAACACACATGCATGCACAGTAAAACACACCGTGCACGCTCACGAGTGTTAAACCTGCATAAATGTGGACCTGGGATAAGACCTGAGCCTTTCTGATGACAATGAGAGGTTGAAGAACGAACCCATCTGTTATTAGTTTCGAACAAAACGACTCCTCTTTGCTTTTTCCAGCCAGCGTCTCCAACATTTAACCGCAGAGTTGCAATTAGTGGTTTGAAATCACGTTGTCCTGATATCTGACATCTGAGATCTTGACCTTTTACTGCTGTGTACGAGTTGAATTTCAAAAACCAAACACAATTAAAAAAAACTGGAAAACAGTCGAGGTTAGATACAACGGTTACGCAAAGTTTCCGTGCAACACTAAACCGTCACCAACTGTTTTTAAGAAGCTTTTTTTCTCATTAATGTACATTTTTAACTGAAGACGGCGTCAGTACGGTTCAGTCTTTGCTGTGAGGACACTAAAAATAAAGATTTGAATCAGTTCTGGTTGATAGAGGTTGGTGTGTCTCTCTGTGTGGTTTGGAGATAAGGGGCTCTGTTTAGATCACTCCGTCTTCTTGAGCTTATTTTCCATCACTACTGTCTGTGTGTGTGTGAGAGAGAGAAAGAGAGAGAGAGAGAGAATGTGTGTGTGTTTTCTTTCTTTTTCCTCTGTCTTTTGTTAGTCTTCTCTTTCACCATCTCTTTTTATATAGATGGGAAACACTCGCTGATGATGGATTTATTGTTATCACAAAACGAGTCACGGCGTCCTCGTCCTGATCCATGAGGACCACTGCAGGACTTTTAGCCGCTAACTTGCCAGCAGCACAACAAAGTGGGACAGAATTACTAAACTTGACACGAGTAAACCTGCAACAGTCACAGGATAAAATCCAAATTAGCAGGAAATCGACCTTAAAAGGCAAAATAACCTGCTGTTTGTGTTCATACTGAGTGCAGATGCTTCAGGCTTCAAACACCCCCCAGTGGTCCTCAGACAGACCCAGATCCTGCGTATTTTTTGGAGGTTAAGCCTTAATGGCTGCCTAAATTAAATCCGCCATATTAGCATATTTGAGCCACTCAAGCTTTTTTTACATCATTGGCTGTGTCCAAAATGGATCCCTAACCCCTGTATAGGCGACTTTATGGGGGTTAGCGCCATTTTGAGAGGTGTCTGAAATCTGAGTGATCAATTCCAGTGCCCCATATAGGCGACTCAGAATTTCCCATAAAGCATTGCAAAATGTAGTGACCGTCCGATGATTACTCACCGGTGGTGGGCATCCCATCATGCATTGCGTCTTGCCATGTAGTGTCCGAAACCTCCTGTGACTGAGCTCACTACATAGTCAGCTATATAGTGAAACCCCAGATGGGGGTTAGGTGATTTATTTCGGACACAGCCTTTGTCTTTTTTCTGTACATGACAATCATCTTTGATTCATGGTTTTGTCAGTTCATCCTTCCTGTTAATGCATGTTGAACATGTCAACTCATATCAGACGACCCAAGTCACTGACAAATGTCTGCAAAAGATCGATTATCTGACAGTTCTTGCATATAAACTTACTTTAATAACAGGTGCATCTTTTTTAATCTTAAACCTACTCTGAGTCATTTTGAACAAACCTGTTCACGCCATAGACTGTGTATATTATGGACAATTTGGTTCTGCCTTCCATCATTATAAGAATTTGAAGCCGAATTTCTCTCGGTGTTCCACTTCCTGGAGCCACCACTTATGCAGTAGTGTTGTACGATCTCGGGAGAGTCATTGTAATGAGGCTCGGCTCAAACAGCGTATCCCCTGAGCTACACAATCTTCGTACACCCATAGGCTGTATCAAGTGTCAATCATAGAAAACATGAACCCCCTAATAACTTTTAAAAATGGAGCTGAACAGAAAAACAGAGGAGTTGAGCACAAACCAGTCTGACAGTAACTACATGTCAACATCACAACCAGGGGGGAGAAACATTTATATTCTGTGTAATTAATTTCTAAAGTTTGTCCACAGCTCCATAATTACTGGAGGAGGCGGATTTATGACCTATACTGCAGCCCGTCACCAGTGTGGTGTTCTCGCAGTGGCTTCACCCAGCGAGGAGGCAGACGGCGTCAGTTCTATATACAGTCTATAGTTCCCACATACGCTGAGCTGGTTACACAGAAAAGCTCATTTTTCTTTATATCTGCGGCGACATCTCTCCCTGACTGATGATCAATTAGCTCGTTTTATTTGACCCTGAATGTGCATCAAACTCTCCATTTATGGAAGCGAGAAGAGAAACTGTCTGTGTATAAAGAAACTTGATAACCGTCCTCTTGATACCAATTATATCTGCTGGTTTTGTCGAGGCGTGTTACAGAGAAAGTCTGACTGTTTTCATGTTTTTTTTTATTTACCCCTTTGACTCTTCCTCCTGTTTCTGCCAAAACTTGAAGGTTTGAGGGAAAAGTCTTCTTGTTTATTCGTGAACCATAAACTTCCATTTCTATGTAGTTCAACCTCTCATCAACTTCATCGCTCTAAAGCAGAAAGTCTCCTTTGAATGCAGTCGAGTATTGAACCTTTTTGTCAATGACTCCCCGATTGTTACTCATCGCTGCGAGGAGGACAAAAGAATTGCAGGCAGACAGAGGATAACCGGAGTGAAGATAAGCCTGACAGCTTTTTCAACAGACGGCTCTGACAAGAGATTTCTCTCTGCAGAGAAAAGTGTGTAATTGACTGGTGTGAGTGTGTCGTCATTCGTCAGATTCACACAGAGACACAAACACAAAATGTTGTCAGAGGGAATCCTGGGGTTCAGCTGCTGTTATTACCTGAAAGTCTATTTTTATCTTCATCTTTTTGTTCTCCTAACAGCTCAGTTTTTTCCTAAATAGTTGATTGTAACAGAGGTCTGAGTCTTTGTTTAGGATTTTAGGATATATGACCCGGTTATAGGGAGGTGTGGGGCCACCTCTAGATAAACCTTAAATCCGGCCCTGACACCTGCATCTCTCCGCTCCAGTTTCATCATGCTTTTCTGTGCCTGATCTTTCAGACAAACTCCTCGCCAGACCTCAAATGACACGATTCACATTTCGAGTGTTTTCTTTATTACAGCAGGTGATCAGTGCGTGGACGATCACCTGCTGTGAAAATGATCCAAAAATAAGAGCAGCAACCGCATGAGAAGTATAATATTTAATCCAGGTCTTCGTTGAGGGCGACTGGACTTGCTCGAGGTTCTTGAAGACGTTCCTCCTCTTGTCTTACTTTGTTAAAGCGGTTTACCTGTCCAGCAGAAAGGTTCCAGGGTCCCCCATCGTTTATGTTGACCCAGCTCTTTAGCTCTTGTCCGGTCTACCTCCGTTTTAAACGCCCGTTATTCCTCCAGAGTCTCCGGTATTTACTTTGTTTTCTTGCTTGTGTCGGCAGTCGTGACCGAAGGAGGATTCAGACAATTTTCCGAACTTCCTGGTTGGTTTCTAATGTCCGATATTGTAGCACGCTAACTTTGTTTGGGCTCCTGAACGACACGGGGGAGCAGCGTCTGCCTCACAACCATTTAGGATGGGGGAGGCAGAGAATGGCTTTGTTTACAGTCAGAAAGACCCGGGCTGCTCAAAAAATGTAAAATGTTGACTACACAGACATAACAAATCACAGAGATATCGTGATATTACCAAATGTCATCAATAACTAATAGCTATTGATTGATTTTAAAAGGAATCCTGCCTACCCCACCTTTAATGTGTGATTTCAGTGTGACTTGTGTTCAGGTCTTTGAAGGCTTGAGTCTCCATCCCTGTGGAATAAAAGTGGCTCCAGAATCGCGCTCTGGGGTACTCCACATGTTCACTGATCAGTCAGATTGTATCACATTTATAAAAGATGAATCCAGTGCAGAAGTGCTGAATCTGCAGCGCCTCAAGTCTTGATGAGTACATGTGGTCACATAAAAGAGGATCTGAGGAAAACATCAGGCCGTAAAAGGTTAAATTTAGAAATGATGGTATTACCTAACAGCAGTATTTCTTAAAATCGTTGCTTTGCTTCTTAAAAATGTCCCTTTATCCAAAAACAACAAACACTGACACGCCACGATTTATCCTCCTGTAATCCTTCAATGTTCACCTTAAACTGACATATTCAAACCAGGATTCATCACATCGTCTGACACAGAGAGCGAGCAAAGGCAGGCTTAGATTGGAGGAAATTTGGAGCATTTTGCATAACAGTGTATTCGATGTTGATGAAAAAAAGACTTGGCATCGGCATGAGCGGCCTCAGGGGGAAGGCAGGGGTGTTGAACGTGAAGCTAAGCCCACATTTGTTTTTCTAATCGTCTTTTTAAAAACCACGGCGCTCACATTTTCAAACAATTCTTCCGATCTAATGATGCAAGACACATCCGCACAGCTTTAAATTGGTTAAATATATCTCAGATGCCGTTGTGCGCGTACACCATTTAGCGAAATGACTTCAGGGAATTACATTTACACGGGATTACATTTAGTCCACGGTCATTTAGTGTCAGCCCTCATTTTCAGCGGATGAGGATGATTTAAGAATGAGGCTCATTTAGCAAAAAGTGCAGACGCTACGACTAGAGAGCAGGTTTAACTAACCATTACATCCACAATGCTTGTGAAACAATCAAATCCTGCAACAGAGTGTTTTAGAGAGAGGAGAGAGAAACAGAGCGGTGGTTTATGAACAGGAAGGATCAGAGGCTGTTAGAGAGACTGATGCTGGTTTTCAGGGTGGGAAAAGGGAGCGTTGGTGATTTCATACCCCCCTCCGTGGTCAGCTTTAGTCTCTCCTCTCTGGTCCACTTGTTGCCGCAGTTATAATTACATTCCTGCTACATCCCGGTCTGCCCAGAGAGGGGTTATTAGACTTTCAGATCAGGGTTCACACACGATTACACACTGCACACACACAAACATTTCCGCCTGATTGCAAAAGACGTGAAATTTGATTCAAAGAGGGTTCATCAAACTGAAATCAAGTTTTCCATCAGAACATGAAGGAAACAAACAAAAACATAATTTTTTTAATGCGATGGCTTTCACTTCCTGCAGTGATCAATGCATCTTTTTTCTACTGAGGGTTTATCTTTGCAGCAAGTCTAAAACAGAGGATGAGGTTGATGGACCTGCAGATTCAGATAATTAAAGCCTTGAATGTTAATTTCTAGTAAGGTCTGATACTTTATTGAGTTTTTGACGTGCAAAGAAGAAACTAGAAAACAACAAAAACTCAACTGGATGAGTTGATTAACATGGACTTGCACAATCCATGTATCATTCTTTTATTAGATTTTCAAAATAAAACCAAAATTGAAAAAAAAAAACAAGAAAACAAATTGTTTTCTAATATTTATTTCTAAAATGAAAATGAAAAAAACAGATCATTGCTCATTTTCTGATTTCCGTTTTCTTATTCAGAACTGAAAAACACTCAGTCTGCTGTTTGATCAGTCTTCTCGCTTCTACCCGGGACGTGTCCCCCGGAAAGTTGCAGATCACGCTTGTTGTGTAAGTCAGACGCGTAAAAATTCACCTCTGTATATTTCGTAATTTCAGGTCATATATTTGCGTCTTTCCTGGTGTGTAAGGACCTTAAGAATGCAGGATATAAAACAACCTGGAAGCACAATGGAGAAAGTATCAAAATAAAAGTATGAGAAACAGTCGATTTGTAAGGCAAAGTCTTGATCATTAGAGGTCATAACCTGAACATTAGTTTGTGTTTTTTTTAACTTTGCAGCCTCAGTTTCAGATTGTGTTTTTTGGTGACACTGAAACAACGTTGATGCCGTCATATTTTAAAGCATAGGAAGACTTACGAGCTGCTGTATTTGTGCAAAAATCCCAAAGCTGATCGAGCTGTATATTTTCTGCAATTGTGTGCATGGAGGATTGTGAAAGGTGCTGTGTGTGTGTGTGTGTGTGTGTGTGTGTGTGTGTGTGTGTGTGTGTGTGTGTGTGTGTGTGTGTGTGTGTGTGTGTGTGTGTGTGTGTGTGTGTGTGGAAATGAAGAGGACACAGAGTTATTGTTTTTTTTCTCTGCCTAGAATTTCCCGAACAGCATTTCTCTAACCCGCAGACTTTTCGCTGACAGGCACAACATGTCCAAATGTTTGCAAACCTGTCACCGACTTTTCCCCCTGCTCTGCTCTTGTTTTTCTTTCCATTGTGATTTTTCTTCTTCTCTGATCCTGACACGGAGTCCAGACCTCCTGACAGAACAGACAAACCTCGCACCACCATCCGACGGATGTGGTCGCAGCCTGTCTGAGAGGTGTTTACCTGTGTTTGTGACAAATGTGTGGGACGGATCACAGTTACAGACGTCCAGATGTGTGTGTACTGATACTATTTATGTTTATGTGATGAACATGTGGACAAACAGCCGGCGCTTAGATGTCTCGTCTCTGTTTGTTGCAGATGGTAGCGCCATTTTCAGAGCTATAAGTGTGAACGTGGTCATAGCTCTTTAAATGGTACTGCTGTATGCACTCAGATAACCTGCAACATGGACTCCATCATCACCAGCAGCTGCAGCACCGAGGAGGACGTCTTCAGAGTTACTTTTCTGTGCAGGATCAGAAAAAAAACTCGAGTTGACATCTTCTCTGACAGGAGAGACCAGAGCAGCCGGTGACACCCTCACGCTGTCGCGCTCGGTTTGGTTTAATCCGAGCTTTTCTGCAGAGTTCAGCGGGAGGATGCTGAGTCCAGGGATTTATCTGACATGATGACCTTTATCACTGCAGTTCCAAACTTTATAAATCCAGTCAAAGTCAAACAGCAACTCTGGATGATCTTATATGAACTTAAAAGCTGAATGTGTCATAAACCGGCTAAACAAGACATGACCTGGAGGAGATATTTAAGCACATCACGATAACTTATTAACTGTCACTTAATTCCTGTTTTACTGAGACCTGAGACACTTCTCAGCGCAACCATGTCACCTCAGTTAGTCAGCGAATCAGTTTTAATCCTGCTGATTTCAACGTGGATTATGATTTTAAACAGACAGGATTTGCTCTGAAGTAGGATGAGGCGATTTGGCAAAAAAATGATCACAATATATTTTGTCATATCGTCTGATCGCGATTATTATCACATTTTTTTTTTTTTTTAAATGCCAGTTTTAAAGCATCTGTACTGAAAAACTAAAGAAACTAGAGATTAGTTCAACATTTTATTAACATACAAAGTAAATAAAGAATAAGAAACACTTAGAAAAATATGGAAACAATTTTAGCTCAACAGAACGACAAATGTAGATAAATATTAAATAATACAATGAACTAGTTTATAGTCCTCAGTATTTCTGCAGGTTTGTAAGACCCAAAATAAACAAACGGCCTCCTCAAGGATAATGAAGACGCCTTAAACTGTAAATATTAGATGATAGAAACGTAGATGATAAGATTGATCGCTGCTTTGCTCTGGTGGCTGCACCGCTTGTTGTAGCTAAACTGCTAATGCCACTTGTGCCGGTGGCAGTGACAGGCTGTACAGACTCCTCTCGTATTTTTGTGCTTTCCACTACAGATTTGTTGTGTTGCTGGTTTTTGAGGGCACCAACCACCAACATACCTTGCACATTGGCTTGATTGCTCGACATCACTTTGGAGACACTTGAACCACCGCCATACAACGATGGCATCTTGACTTGAGGATGACTCAAAGTCATGGCTGACATCTATTTTGCTGCCCTCAGCTCTGCGTTTAGCTCCGTGTTCCGTCATTCTGTTTACTTCTCTGGCAACTTACAGAAGTGAGCAGGAAAAGCTTGACTCTGATCGACTGTTCTCACGCACATTTATGTTATGTTTGATCGAGTAAATATGCTCACAGCTGATCACTGTGATCAAACTGAAATTTATCATGATCATTTATCCTGATCATATAATCCCCCGGTCCTTCTCTGAAGTCTGGATGTGTTTCCTCTGACTGCTTTGGGTGAAGAGGAGGATGGCAGCCCTGCAGCAGCAGCAGGTGTGGAGTACGTGTTCGAAATGGACACCTTTTATTTGAAAGTCTGCATCTTTTATAAGCAATTTGAATAAGTTTTTAAGAGTGTGTTTCTTGTTCCCCCCCACTCTGCGGTCTTTTGTTGGTTATTTCGCTGCTGTTTGTTTTGCACTGGACCCTAGAGGAACTCTTCTGTAGAGGCTTTACAGCTAAGCGAAGTTATTGAGGTGGATTTTTCATTTTCACTGACCATGCATGCTGGCTTTTTATAATAGTGTGTCGCTATTGGCAAGACACATACAGAGACAATATTGTGGCTTTATTGTTATGGTGTAGGATTAGTATGGAGGCTGCATTATTGTAGTCATTTCACTGCTCAGTGAGGAACACAAAGCAGGCTGTTTATTCAGAGGATATCTGTGTGTTTTTTTTTAACACAAATGTACAGATCATTTATTTTTAGTTATTGCATGTTGACAAAAGCAATAAAAACACACATAATCCAACATATAAATGGTAGTTACTGTGCATCCACCCTCTTGGTTCTATCTGGGTTGAAGATCCAGAGTCAGTCCACAGCCTGCTGCTTGAGCACTAAAGATGCTCACTAACTATCCGACTAAATAACACAATTTCAGATGGAAATATATAAATAGTTATTTTAATGATATGCTATAAATGTTAAATGTGATAAATAAGAAATACCTTTTACATTTAAAGTCACACAGTGTAACGGCTGTCAGCCTTGAATCTCTCATTAATTTAACTCAAAATAACACGACATGAACTGAATTTTATCCCAGTGATGTGGATTTGTAAAATTCATCAGTGAAAGAGTGAGAGGACGGGACGCCGCTGGCTGAGCAGTCTGCACACGCACCCCATGTGGGAAGGTTGTGCCTCTGGCGGATGGCCCCGGGTTCACTTCTGGCCTGTGGCTCTTTTGCTTTGCCGCTCTTTACGCTCTCACCCCATTGGCTGCTCTGTCTACTTTTCTGTCATCTCCAATTAAAAGCAAAAAGCCCAAAAATAAAAATCTGAGAAGGAGGTAAAGCTCTTTTAAAATGATCCAGTTCTTTAAATAGTCTATCCTGATTGATTATGCCTTTTTTTAATTTAATTTTGTCCATATTATCTTTATTCATATACAAGCAATATCAACGTTCTCTCACCAACTAACCTTCCTGCCACATTTTCAAAATAAAAGCATGTCTTCACAGTATATTTTTCACGCTTGTAGCATAAGACACCCTTTAATTTGTGATTTTTCTGTTCATTTAATGAGTGTTTCTTTCCAGTCAGAGTGTCACCTTCCACCTCTAAATCCCCAGATAACAAAATAAAATGTTCAGAAAATAGAAATAATAAAGTTCCTTCACACAGAGTCTGTTTGGAGGCTCAGTCTGAGAGTTCAAGTCCTGGCAAGAACTGTTACTCAAGAGATGCCAGATTACAACAAGGTTGTGTGCAGCCGCTTTTGTCACATTTACATAGGTGCATGTCCATGAGATCTTATATTTGTCTGTATGTATTACTGGTCTGTGAATGTAAGAAAATACTTTTATGGTGCAAAAACTTTCAAAAATCTCTCAATATGATGAAAACTTTTCTTCCAAGAAATAACAGCTTGACAGACCAAAAATAGTCCTGTGCGCTCGCAGACTGTCTGGTTACAGAGATGTTTGGATCAGTGGATAAACTGATTTTACTCTCAGAATTTATGTGACTAAATAAGACTGAGACGTTAATCTCCATTACCTGGCTGTGACGCTGTGTTATTGTCAGGTTGACTTACAGGACAGTTGTTGCTCCTATAACATGTACTACTATTGTAGATCTGAGAGAGTTTGCTTTAAGACAAACAGAAACCCAAATCTCCAGTCCCAGTCCAGTATCCGTGTGGCCGTTCCTCCAGCAGAAATGGTGGCAGGACTACAGAGGGAAGAAATGTGCAGCGAGCGTCCAGAGCGCCGTCCTCAATCAGTAACCACGTTAAACTGTTCAGGAAGGATTTTCACTTCCTAATTGAATTGGCTGGCTGTGTGGGTTTCTGCCACGCTAACTTGGCCATCCCTGTCTGCGCACAGCTCTGCCTCGCTCCTCTGTTTGTGCCTCTGTCTGCCTCCTTCTCCACAACACAAAAATCTGTCAGCTCTGCCAAGATCTCAGACGACAATACCCGTAAACAACGCAGATACATGTGGCCCGCATCTGCATTAAGACATACACAGTTTAAAGTTAGCGTAAACAATCTATATGTGGGTCACAGCTGCTGCATGTTTGTTTACTGACCTGTGATTCAGGTTAATGTCCAATTTTCCATCGTGGTTATGTTCTACGAAGATGATGTAGGTGTGTTCACCTGTAAACAGATTAAACTAATCACATCTATTCTGTGAGATAAAGGTAATATGCTAATGAGAAATGTGTTTCTTATCCTGTATAAAGACTGAGTCCCATCTTGTGAGATCAAGTCGAGAAGTTTGGTTATCAGTACCGGTACTTTCTGTTAAATTCAGTCGTCAGTTATGATTTGGATCTAGAAGTGGTTTCTGTATGTCTAAAGGTACCGTGAAGAGACATAAGGGATCTGAACATGGACTGTGTACACTCTGGGCAATTTGGCTCCGCCTCTCGCCGAATTGCTCTCTGTATTTCCGGAATTTTCTCCACTTCCTGGCCCCTCCCTGCCTTTTAATGCCTTTATGGTGACATAAGAAGGATTAATCATAATGAGGTCAAAGGAGGCTTTTTAGAGCTGTTGTTACTTACTGGGTAATCGTGTTTATGCCTTTGAATAGGAAAACTGGTGCAATAATAATGCGCAGTAACATTGTACGCAATCAGTGGGAGAGTCACAGAGAGTCGCTGTGATGACTCGGCTAAAACAGCGTATCCCTCGGGTGAGCTACGCAATCTTTGTATGCCCATAGGCTGCACAGAAAAGAGGACTTGAGCACAAACCAGTCTGACAGTAACTACATGTCAACATCACAACCAGGGGGGAGAAACATTTATATTCTGTGTCATTAATTTATAAAGTTTGTCCACAGCTCCATAAGGATTGTTGGAGGAGGCAGGATTTATGGCTTATACTGCAGCCCGTCACTAGAGGGTGCTGTTCTCGCGGTGGCTTCACCCAGCGAGGAGGCAGACAGCGTCTCTAATCTCTAAAAAGAGGTGATTATCAGGAGGGGAAAACGCAGATAATTCCAGCGAGTGCAGACAGCCTAATCTGGGGATCCTCGTGGATAGATTATGTTTGGATTAAACCCTCTGGACTTGAATCATAGAGACTTTGTCCACTGCAACAAAAGGGGACAACATTGAAGGGTGTCTAGATAGATCATTATAAGGTCACTAAAAAACCGTCAGCCCCTGTCTTATTGGTTAACACTTTAGTATTTCTGAACATCCATTTCAACGCAAAGGATGAAAGTTTGAGATCTGTGCTGATTACACTGAAACATACAGATCTGTGTTGGTATAGAGGGGAGCGAAGACAAGTCCTCCAATGGTCCATTTCAGGG